GATCTGCCAATCGGGCTGGTCCTGCCCGGCCAGAATCTTTTCCATTTACCCCTTCACTTCTCTCCCCTATCATTGGGTGGAGGCGGGAACTGTGTGAGCGGGTGTGTGTGGCTTGGCCCCGAGCCAAGGGCTAACCCACCACAGTTTCAAAGTGCATCCATGATATAGACATGTAAAATGACACATGCTTATCAAAGCATCTTGAAGGAGACCATTGACTTTAAGGATGGAGTATCTGAAGATAAAGCAACAGATGGACAGCTCAACTTCAGCCCACCTAGTGATTTGTAAACAAACACGTGAAAAGGGCTATTTCTGCTGAAAGGCACTTTCAGACTACACCTAACTCTTAACAAGGCTGAACTACATCTGCACTATTGCTTGCAGAATCCTCAGAAACTAATATATTTTCAATTTTGGAAGAAATGTGGCATTTCCTTAATGGAATAAATGTTCATGATAGCAAAGAAAAAAAACATTGAATACACCTTGGTTCTACGACGATTTGTGCTGCGACAGTTGCTGGTTGCCCCAAAACAAAAGCAAGAGGTGCATCCCTGGGGATTAGAAGGGTCCAGATAAAAGGATCCTGGTTGGCAAGTATCACATTCTGCACCTTCAACATTCTCCTGTTAAAGTACAGTTGAAAGAAATCTCAGAGTTTTCCTTTTGGTGAGGCCCCCAAAACCTCCTGCACATAAAACAAATCTGCTGAAAGAATATTTACTTAAATGTGTAGAAACATGAATGAAAATGTGTGATTGTCCGGATGCACCATATTCCAAATGCAAATAGAACTGACTTCTTGGAGACTTAGTTACAAGCTGCCTTTCCAGCTTATAAAGTGAACCACTGAGTAATAAATATTAGTCACAGACAGCTGGTAACCTCCCTGCCAAAACCCTCCTGCTGGCTTTTCCAAACCTACAATATAAAAGGTCACTTGTGAAAGTTCACATTTATCACATTTAATTATACAGATCAGAACAAAAGAAGATTTCCTGGATATAATGATGTGTTAAAATGTCAACTGACATAATGTGTCTAAAAAAAGCATGGGACCTGGTTAACATCCAAAAGCCAAGATGCAGATCCATAAAGTGGATCTGTGCAGGGTACAGACTGCTTCGGTGAATCAATGGACATCTACTCTGTGGAACTGTAACATCCCGCAAAGCCTAAGACTGCCTGCAAAACCGACATATTGAACTCACTAAAAATGGTACTTAACGGCTACTATGACAATCTGTACACATACTGCAAGGTGTGATGGTTTTGTTCTGCTGCGTTTAATTCTTACTGAAAACAATGATAAACTCTTTCCATTCACGCCATTAAATATGAAATAGTCACTGATGTGTAAACGATGCTTGTGAATGCAGAAGTAATTTGATTTATCTGACCTTACAGAGACAAATTCCTGTCTGGGGATCGCAAACATCCGGTTCTGTTCCATCTCTGTTACAGTTACACGGCACACAGTTTGGGAAACCATAAGTACCAGGAGCACACTGGTCACACTGCCGTCCTTTTATTCCTGGTTTGCATCTTTATCAACAAACAAACACAGAGGAGGGTGTCAATAGGGGAGGCAGAAATGGAGTGAGGAAGGGGAGATCAAAACAAAAGGCGGGTGGATCTCTGACATGATTGTGTGGCTATGACACAACTTCACGACTTCCACAGAGAAACAGCAGCAGGCTGGTTATTGTTCTCTGATTTGAATGGTGAGATGTTTTATGTGGTCATGTAACTGATTAGGAATGGATTTGATTTTGAAGGATATAAATGTTCACAATGGAATTAGACTTCTGCAGCTATTCAGTGCTTGCAATGCAGAACTACTCTCTCTATACACCAAAGTGTGAAATATGAATATTGTACAAAGGTAGGCAGAGCTGGAAGAAGGTGTATAGCTGGAGGATGTGACTGCGCATTTCTCAAGGCACTCACCTGCTAACAAAGAGAATCCCAGGCATATGAATAATTATGGGGACTTGAACCTGCCACAAGGCTTGGGTTAGTTTACAACCATTCACAAACGATAAAATCCACTTTGCTCACAGTGAAGGCTGAATGCCTTGGATTTACTTAGGTGAAGTAGAGAAGATGCAAAAAACACCACCAAAGTAGGAGTAAAGCTTGACATAAGAGAAAACACCTTTCAGTGGCAGCAGCTATTTTCTCCTGCCTTTACAACAAACTTGCACAGACTGATAGAACTAGTGAAATGTGTGTCTGATGACCCCTCTTGCTTCTGCCTATGCTGGCAATGTCTGTACCAGCCCTAAGGACATTTCAAGACAGTAGAGATCCATTGATAAATTATGTCTGCCACCACCACCATCCACATCTTTACATTTTAGTTGTGATAATTTTTAAAAGTCTCAGCAAGATGGTGGAGTCTCCTTTGGCTCTCAGCACCAAATTTATTTGTGCATTAACACTACAAATGTAATGGAAATAAACAGATAAATTACGCAGACAAGGTAGACTGCACTTCATGTAATACATGAAAGCAATTACTCAATTCACCAAACAGTGGGCAAGTTTTCTCAGAGTCTCTCTGAATGTATTGCTCCCTCCCACAGATAATAGGAGCTGGACAGGGGCTTTGAACTTCATGGAATCCACAGAAGGAAAGGTATTAATCAGAATGTAGTAGTTAGCTATATACTTCAGTAAGCAGTCCAAAAGTATTTGCTAAATGTCGAGTTTTGCTTCAGATTTTTTTACCAATAAACTGTAATTTCTTTGATATTACCACTTAGGCTGCACGTGAAAAATATCACCATTATAATCAGGCAATACAGCTTTTCACTGAAACAGAAAAATCTGACTGTTTCTGCAAAAATGATCCTCCATTTTAATTGAGTAGAAGTATCAACCCAGGCCGTTCTATGATTCTATGATCCTAAGCCCCTTTGACGTATTAGGTTATAGTTGACTGAAGTATTTATTTTATTTATTTTTGCATAGTATTTATTTTTATTTTATTTTGTATTGTATGGGGAAAACGAAAGCAGAGACTAACGAGATTGAGAGTGCATCAGAATATGCTACACCACTTTAACGCTGAACCCCAAATTCCACATATGAGAATTCTTGGTTTTCCCTTGGGATAAGACAATTACTCACTTTGTATGAAAAGGTCAGGCTTAGGAAAATAATTTAAATTCAGGAATTACTATGAGTATTCTCTCAAAAATAAGTATTCTCTGTCATATTTACAGGATTAAAGGCAGAGCAGGAAGGATCATATTTCTCTGTGTTAGGACCCTGCAAAAATACCCAAACCAGTCAAACTGAACTAATCCTGGCTTTATCCAACTGGCTGTCAAGTATTTGCACTTGCTATTTAAGGACTTGGATCTCCCCAAGGAAATGACAGAAATGTTCAGCTATACTAATACTTGCAGCATCAGAATTTAAGATAATTCTCCATGGCTGTATGCTATACATATTTTAGAGAATATTAAAAAAGAGAATAAAACTAAAGAATTTATTTTTATTTCAGTATTCTGAGTTACAGAAAAATAAGAATATGTCATACAGAAGACATAATTGTCAGGGCAATTATCACCTATGGCTACAACGGAACAATATTTTTCCAAACAGACAGTACCTACCATCAAAGTTCCTCAAAAATCATTGCAAACATTCAAGCTTTACAGTAGTTAAAAACATCACTGGACTGAAACCCAGATATCAGACTCTGGAAGGTCAACTATGAAATTTTAAGAAATGGGGAGGTAATGTACACCCTTACAAATTATGTGTATGTCCAGAAGTCAGGAGCTCTGATCTGAAGTCCTCTATGAGATGGACAGAGATTCAGGGACTTGCCATGAGTGACACGGCATGTCACTGTCAAACAGAATGCAAGCCCAGGAATCCCAAATCCCACCACTAGTTACCTGCACAAACCCTATTTCCACTAAAATATTGCGGGTGTCCCTGAAGCAGCCGAGTCCTCACTATTGCCAAGCACTACTTAAATCCCTACTCCTCATCACCAAAGTCTCCCACATACCCTCCAAATACCTGAAAAGAACGGTGAAACAAACCCCTCACGCACTGTTTATAGTGCACCTGAGCCAGACTTACTTGCATTGCCCGTTGGTTTTTTCACATTCTGGGTTTGCCACATTAACGACTCCTTTTTCTGAACAGTTGCAGCTCTCGCAGCCAGCAAGAGGGTGATAGCTGAAGTGAAGTTTCTCGCACACTTCACACTTCGGTTTCACAGTTTGCGGAGGGCAAATGCATTTACCAGTTACGTCATCGCACAAACGCTGTCCACAGTTGCATACTGGGTCAAAGAAAATATTCTACAAATTAATCACATCTCAATTTACAATGCTCAACTCTTATCGAACTTGTACATGAAACAAACACACACGACCTGTATGTGTGAAGAACACAATTCTTTTCTCTCTTTCACTAGTTTTAAGCTCAGTTGGCTTGTTTGACTTTAACTATCATAATGATGTGAGACTGAGACAAACCAGGGTCGTGGAAACCAACTATGTGACCATAACGGTGGTTTCAAAGAATAACTTGAGACCTTAGCTCTTTTCTACAGATTGGTTGCTTAACTTCAACACAGGAATCACTATCACTTCCCAAAACTGCCAAGCATTAAACAATTAATAGCTTTGGCGTTAAGGGCACACTTTTACAAACTAATGTTAATAAAGATATAGAGTATAATATCTGGGAAAGCAGCTGAAGGCTGTTGGTGTGATCCATAAATCTGTTGATGTTATTAAGAATAACATCAGAAAAAGAGGAATTAAGAATGATGACTCTGATGTATGGAAAACCCTGAAGTTACAAACTGGGATACCACAGTAATAACTGAGAAATCATTAATCAGTCAGTGCAGAAAAATCCATTTCACTGAAAGAGCGGCAATCTGGATTTTAACCCGTAGAAGTGTAAGCCTAGTACACCTGATCAGACAGCCCATGCGAAGGCACACTTCCCTGTGAACTAGGTGTACTTAAAGGGAATGGGGTTACTTCTGTGTTAAACTGAAAGCTACACTATGCTAAATCTAGGATGGCTCAACTGGCCTCTCATAGGATCAAGCTCTATTAAAAAACCACGACGCCATGGTACCTATACAGAAAAATCAGGGAATTAATTAACAGGTCAGGTCAAGTGCTGAATAAGTCCAAGCATATACTTACACTTGCAGAATGGGAATCCATAGTAGCCAGTTTGGCATCGGTTGCACCGACGACCGATGACATGAGGTCTGCAAATACACTGTCCTCCCAGGGGGCTGCAAGTAGGGCTCATGGCACCGGCATTATGGCAATTACATGGCAGGGCTCCGTTGTTGTAGAAAGCCACTAGTGACCTTACAGAGTCCTTACAGAAGTCTGATGATCCTTCTGGGCTATTTAAATTGAAATATAAATCATGTAAGTAGCGGAGTGGCCCTTCGGAATTGTTACAAGGGTCGTTTGCAGTTAATTAGGGTCCTGTCTTTTAAACAGTTATTTGACCTAAGGATGGCATCAGTACACATGCAAGGATATACTTTAATTAAATTAGTGGTGAATGGTTTTGAGCATACAGGTACAAGATTTTTTTTCAAAGAAAGGGCGTATATTAGTTATATCAGTTCAGACATGCCAAGCAAAATACCAAATACCAAAGATGGAAATACCAAAGACAGAGAGATGACATAGATTTTCCTCTTTTGTACTGTGAGCACTAAAGCTCTACCATTACATTTCATTTACAATAGAAAGTCATGGAAAAATGACTCATGCAAATTTAATGGGCCAGCATAAGCCATGAAAAGTATTTTAACATAGCACTATAATGGGGATTTTATACATGTCTTTAATACAGAGTAAAAGTAATAATTCCCAGCTTGTTGACAACATTCAGTTTTTTAGAAAGCAATGCTTACTCAATATAAAAACTGTTTCCTCCACATTGGCTGATAAAATCAAATGACTTGTCCACTGTCTTTTTGTCAAGAATTTTGTAACTGTAGGTGTCTGCTGGAACAACTAAGACATTTTCCTTAAAACAACAAGAAAGCTAAATTGTACATTTCAGAGAAGAGCAAAAGACACAAGCTAAGGCATTTATACATTTGAATGTTGCTTCATTATGCATTCTGGATTTTCTCAAAACCTGTAACATTTTAACTGAAAAAATGGGAAAATATACTTCTTATCTTCCCCCCAGAGTTTTGATGCTACAAGCAGTGTACAATAAAAACAGTATAGAGTATCTTTAAAATTCAAAATAAAATGTAAGTGGTGCACAAGATCCTAAAAATCAGAAACACAACATTAAAAGACAAATTCTTTATTTTTGGCTTTCATCTTTGCATCTATCTCTAAATGCCTGGTAAAACTAAGAATAACATTTCCAAGCACGTTTATTACATACCAGAACCAGCATTCTTCCATCAGGTATCATCACTGTAACAGTGATCTTGGGTTCAGAAATGTCAAGCTCAATTTGGTTTTCTGCAATCACCTGATCCCGACAGCCAGAGGTATGAGGGCAGAATGAAGCATTGAAGGAACCTAGAAGAAAAGAACATAATGCCAAAAAATGCTCCATGTGCCAAAATGCTGAGAAAAAAAAAAGGAGGTTAGATCAAATTCAGATGCTTACCTGACCACACACGTCCCGCATCCACACGCACTTGGACGGGGAACACTGGGTGTGCTGGCTGATAAAAATGTACCACAAATACATATCTGCCCAAGTGGGGCACTCTGCCACTCAAGGTAATCTGGTTCTGCAGAAACAAGAACAGCTCTGATAGTATATTTGTTTTGTGAAATATTCTTGGGTTTATGAGCTGTGCTCTGTGCCACCTACCTGAATTAAAGAGAAGGGGCTTAGCATCTCTCAGCAAGTTAAATATCTTCAAAGAACATGGCATTACAATGGCATGCTCCTATCTGTTTGCATGCCAAACACCTCTAACATCCTGCTGCAGTCTGTAAGACTACTGCATAGTTTAGAAAGAAGCTGGCATTTTTGTTTCTCTAGCTGTATATGATCTTTGTGGCTTACTCAGTCTGCAGCATTTTGATCATATCATTCAGTTTTTGTATTTAACTTTACTAAGAACACACTTTGTAGTTTAGGAAACAAAGTTTTCAAAATATGAGATACCTGTAACGGTGTCAGGGTGACTCCATTAACTGAGTCAGAAGGTAAAGGGGCACTCAGTGGATCATAGAGTATATTTCTCTGTACTTCAGAAATTTTCCCGTCCTTGAATGCATCCAAAACCAAAGCTGCTGGTGGAGTTTCATACACTGAGGGAATGCATGTTGCACTAAACACAGAATTATAGTGATTACTCTTGGGGCCAGGAGAATTTCTTAAGCATCATAACAGGAAAAGCAGTCAGCTCACAAAAGTCAATACATTAGACTGCATTACAATTAATAATGCAATAGTAACCCCTGTTACTCTTTGGATTCTATATACATGATCAGAAAGTAAATTAAAACAAGACATATGGATTTTACTCATAAAGGGGGAAAAGTGCATTAACTGATTTCATTCACTCAGACTTTCCATAACCTGAACAGTTTCAATGGAAAGAGTTTGCTAAGGAAGAGGAAACCCAAGGGAACCAGGAGTGTTAAAAAAATAAATACATTTTAGTTAATCCAGTTAGTTACTGTCCAGGTTTGTTAAACCACAACAGTTACATTCACCAGAATCTGTACTGATATTGAATTCTCAGTTCTGCAAATATTTACGTAGGTGTATCCTTTAAATATGCAAGTTTTCCCACTGAAGTCAATGGGACTACTTAAGTACTTAGAAGTTAAGTACACACTTAAATATTTGTAGAATTGGAGCCAAAATAAATACCAGTGCTCCTTGAAAGCATCCTTATTCATTCAATGCTATATTTACCTATTCCTTCCTTGGTACATTTAATTCAGAAGAACCTGATTGAGAGAAGTATTTTCCAAGACAGCAGGAGAAAATGTTTTGGGGGGTTTCCTGACAGTATTTGTTCACTTCTCGTAAGTACTCAGAAGACAATAATTAATCTTTGCTCAAGTCAGGCCTAGAACTGGAATGGCAAGTATGTTTCAGGGCCAGGATTGAGATGTATTTGCCAGGCCTGTGTGGGAAATCACATGAAGCATCTGCTTATAATACTGTTAAACTGAGCCAAGACTCTGCATCTTTCAACTTGGTGAACACTAAACACTTTCAGGAAAGCAAAGATGCTGCCAGATAATGGTCTTAATAACAGAACACAAACATACAGTAAACTATGCAAATATAAGATTTTAAAAAAAACAGCATAAAAGCAAAGTGAAAGGTACAAATTCCTACATTAGCTTTATTTTAAATCATGCTTTTCACCCAGCCTCTTTCCCCCACATTACTCAGAATATAAATGCCCAGGAATGCAAAATTCTTTTAATGTGAGGACAAGTATCTTCAGTCTTAGAAAGCTGTTCTCAGTTGCAATGCAGGGGTATTAAAGCTGTGATTGAATATTTCAAAGCCAAGTTCAGTCACATGCTTTTATTCAATTTACTATCCAGATTTCTCTGCTTTCTATTTCAATTCAACTGTTATATTAGAAGCTACCATCTGGAAAACTATTAGACCTAGTCACCAACTCTTTCTGCCTCTGAAGTCCTGCAAATGACATTTACTTTTACTTTGAGGCCATTTCCTTTGCCAAATCAGTAGGAAGAAAGCCTTGGGAGTAGCATCACAGGGGACATCCTGGGGAGTGCAACAGGAACTGAAATGTGGGGCTCCCTAATCTGGAAGCTCCAGTGATAGCTCCTCTCTGACCGAAAGAATAAAACATACGAGAGAGGAAAAGCTTCAACAGGACAGAGCAAGTGCTCCGCAGAACCTAAACCCGACCACTTGGGAAGTGAAAGTTCAGGTTCAGATCTTCACAGCAAGAGAAGAGCCATCAACCTGGGTCAAACAAGCTGTATATTGAGTGTTCTAACTACTGGCCCTATACAAGTATAACGGAGGAGAAGGATCACCTGGCGCTGCTGCGCGGGGTGAATGCTGAGGGCACAGCCCCACGATGAGATGGACAAGGGAATGGCTTGCTTGTGAAGCGTGGGTTTACATCTTGAGTAGTTTGATGCTGCAGAGTTGAGCTGGTGGATTTGTGCCTGAAAGGGCAGTCACATACCCTACCTATCATTTAATTTAATGACAAATTAAAGCCATTTTGGAACAACTGAAGCAGTAACATGCAGAATGAAGCTCCAAATGGAGCAGTAAGCATTTCAAGCCACTGAAGTAGCAATGTTTCTCCAACTTGGACACCTATCATACTGGATGGTGTGTCAAAGATCCATGTTTTCTAACACATCAGCACTCAGTGGTTCAGATGGGCTGGGAAGAGGTTAGTATTAACAAAATGCTGTGCAAAGACCGTCTAGATATAACACTAACACTTCAGCTCTTTTACAAATACTACTTTGCAAAAGTGGCCTACAAATCACCTGTGAGTCACTGATCAAAGGTGCATTCAAAAGATTAAAATCCCATTTAGTCTGCCTTTTAAGGCCTTCTTCAGAAAATACAAAGGATAAAACTGAGCAAGTTACCTTCCATCACGGGTACTCCCGTAAGCAGCTATGCACTGTACTTTAGGATCCACGTAGTCTGGAGAAAATTCTTCAGCTGATATAATACAAACCTTGTGCTGAAAAAAAAGCACAAGGCACAATTAGCAATTAATATTGTAAATAACAGGACCAGGCCTGAATGGGAAGGATGAAGCCTAATTTTAGCATGGGAGACCTTAGCCCAAAGCCGTCTTTTGTCATGGACTTCCCACAAGATTTCGGATCCCTTTACCTCCCTGCACCTGAGTGCCTCAGTGCTGAATAGCATTTTTCTGTCCTCAGAGGAATGTTGGCTGTTCAGAAGTTAAATAAACTAAAACATAGCTGTAAGTATGGCAATGGGAATGGCAGAAGACCAGCTCATAGGGACAGAAGGAGCATATAGAGGTGGGAGGTAAAAGCCCTCATCCATGGTGTTAGAGACTTTGGGACTCTGGGGGAATTCCTAGACCTTCTGAAATGCAGGCACAAACACTTGCTCTCACAAAGTCCACAGCAGTGAGTTTCAGTGACACCAGAATTTCTCCCAATAGATTCATAACTCATTTTAAAAGCCAATGAGACCTCATATGATTTTTTTTTTTTAAGTAAAACTAGACATGAGCAAATGAAGCTGTGGTATTCCTGCTTTAGCCACGGTGGTAAGGACATAAGGGAAGGCTTGCAGATAGACACAACAGTTTGCACTAATAAAATATATTACCTGCACTTACAAAATACGTAAGTACAGGTTACAAAACTTGTGCATGAACTACTTGAAAAGGCGATAAAAATGCCTGACAAGCAGAAAGATAACTAGCACCATGTATTAATATAAGATAATATTGCATAGGGAGAACTCATTAATGTGCAAAGTGATTCAGTTTCAAAGCAGGTTCTAAAGGAGCTCAGCTTGTGTTTTAGCAGTAGTCAGCAGGGACTAGAAACCCTTCATAAGCTCAAAGGCAGAGTGCTAAAAGTCCCTTTTCCTGGGCAGCAAACGTTGTGTCTGCCCTGCATGCACTGATCCACAGTGCTCCAGCCCATTGCAGCAGAACAAGGGCAGGCTCTGAAGCTTTGAACTGCACTTTATGAGCTGCTAAAAAGTTAGTGTGAAACACGGTCTGGGTTTAGCCAGCTCATATGCATCAGTGTGAGATAAAGACTATCAAGCTGTAAGAGCCTCTCTTGAAAGATGACCTCAGGAACCTCATTTCCCCTTTATTTATACCAGGTTTTTGAACTCCTGCATTGGGGATGGTTCCCCTTTGCCTCTGTGGTCTACATGACAGAGGGTCACACAAGGGTCTTTACCTCCAAAGCTGCTGCCATTGACTTCATGATCAGTGTCCATATACCAGAAGCTCTTCTTTCCCCCCTTCCTATCCTTTGCTAAGTGCAATCTTTACATTCAATATGGGGAAATATTTCCTGTATCTCAGGAGAATATTGAAATTGACCTTGCAGCAAGTTATTCAGAGAATGAAAACTAGAATTTAGAAATCAGAATACAGAGATTTTTAGCACAAGAGATTTCCACATGTGGAGATACAAACTAATAATATCAGCGTCTTTTGGAAATGGATCTTGTTAGCACAGCAGGGAGCTAACAGACAGTTTACATGGTATTCATTCACACCGTACACTGCCTCATTAAATGAAGAGAGCATGTATCGGTTGTTAATCCTAATGGTTTCATTAAACTACTCTATGTTTAGAGCTGGGTTTGAACTCTGCAGAGTTTAACCAACTCTGTAACTCATCTTGTGTTTCTAAAATGGAAAACAGAAACAACACAAAAGTAAATTCAGTGTCCAGAAAAAACGTATTCCTGGTGTGGCCAAAAGAGGGCAGTGAAGGCTTTTTATTAAAAGTATTTATGACTAATGAATGCATGTATTGCCTGAAATGAATGCATTTATTATCTGAATTTTGTAGAGACCCAGAAACTCCCATATGGGTTTTGAGGATTTTTAAAAAGTGAAATATAAGGAAAAAAAATGACCATGTATAAAAGCTACCAGAAGATTTTTCATTTAAAGTTTACATGTAGAACAGAGAAGGGAACGGAAATAAAGCACAAGAGAGTTGGAAAAACCCTTGCCAAGAAAAGTAAATTTCTGTTTATCTTTTAACCTGATCAAGTTTGCCTCAGTATCTCTGCGTATATATAACGAAACATCTTCAAGCATCTAATATACATCACTTCACACATTACCATAGGGCATGTGAACACAGGGAGAAAAGTATCTCTACCCACTCTGGGAAAAAGTATAACAAAAGGGAAAAGAAAATAAAAACTTACCAGAAGAAAATTAATTGATGACAACTTAAGATGGATCTTTGTATCTGCTAGAAGGTCATAGACTGCAATGCGATTCCTATCGTCAACTACAATGCTGCGACAAAGGAAACTGAGACAGAATGCAGGATTAAAAATGAGCCTGCTGGCATTGCCATGTTCTTTATGCCATCACCTAGCTCAGCTGCCTAGCTTTTGGCTATCCTCAGGACTGGCGCCTAGCTATTCTGCTGGATCATAAGTAACCTTTGGCCACTGGTGAACATGCAGTATTCTCACTAGCAACACAAAGGATGTACCATGTACAAAATACTTCTTGTCCTTTGTGGGTGTGCCCAAAAGGACAAGAGTATGTCCTAGTGCCCAAACCTCCAGACCTCAGCTCAGATCCCCAGTTGAGCTACTGCTTTAAGCAGGATGTGAACAGATACACATGCATGCTATCTGCAGAGGCTTCCAAGCTGTGTAACATAGCGTGTAACTAGTATTCTGTACCTGGTCCACGCTCTTGGAGCTGCCAGCATGCACCAGCTGCTGCTTTGCACTACTGCCACGCACTGTTGATGGTGTGAATCAGCAGCTATCACCCATGCAATGGCAGCTGAGTATGTCTTGATTCTAGGAAGCTATCTGTATGCTGAGATACTCCTCTATACAAATGAAAAAAATGTACGTTTACCACTTACTGACTGCCTTCAACTGGCTGCGCAGCTTTGGTAGAGGCAAATACATACTAAGAGGAAGAGTCTTGCTAAAGCCTTTGAGCTCTGCCTTGTTCAGGGAGCAAGAGCCCTGCAACTTGCCAAAAGTAGCAACTGTTCCCTTTTGCTAAAGAGAAGTCATATAACGCTTTAATTTATTTTCTTTCTTCTGCACTTCGGCTCAGCGAGGCTAGCCATCCTGTGGCTGAGAAGCTGTAGCCAGATTGCAACTGCTTCTCTATTTCTGCTCTAGGAACCAGAGAATATGGAAGTTTGACTCTTGTTTAGACCACAGCTCAGAAATAAGGTCAGCTCAGGGCTAGGGACATTTAAGATAAGAGAAATATAGGTCTCTTATTTGTGATTTGCTGGAAGGTTGCAATGTTTTATTCTCTTACAATGTTTTATTGGGAATTATCAAGCTCACAGAGCTGTAAGAAGGCCTGGCACAATATATGCCTGATTCTACAAGTTATTCATATTTGCATGTACCTCACTATGTAATTTCTTGATTTACTTTTTTCCCCAGAAGAGACTTGTAGCTTCCTGCTTCAGAAAGATGACACAGCAGCTTACTTGCAATGTGACTATTAGCTTCATGCAGAATGGCCACAGAAGGAATTTACTGCATTTCTGCATTAAGGTAGCAAAGGCTTTCTTTGTATTTTCATGAGCAAGTTCTTAGTGTATGATACGAACAACCAAGCATGTTCAAAATTAGCCCATAAAATGTGTTTGGGGAAAAAAAAAAAAAAAGGAATAAAATGGAAGCTTTATAGCAAGTAGTTTGGGGCTCAAAGTGTTACATAACAGGCTAAAATAAGAGCTTTCCCTGGCAATAATGTGACAAGGTCACTGCTGCATATAGCTCCACGTGCATATATTGGTATTTTTATCACAAACATGCTGATGAAAATGATTTTTCTTACTGGGCAATTTCATCCCGAATATCCCTGAACTTCCAGTCTGACAAACACTTGGCTCATGGGAAAAAGGGATGCATGTCTGTTTCCCTGGCAGTGGGTCGGCTCTCCCAAGGTTGCAAACATTTGCAGGATCACAATTCTTATTTGAGTCATAAAGTGAAATGCTCAAGTGTTAAAGACAATCTTGCTCAGCACAGACAAAAATCTCTTGTGCAGAAACATCTGCAGTAACCTCAGTAGTCAACAAGGATAGAGGAGCATCCGTCTGAAGACCTTGCCTACAGTCTAACAGCCAGAGGATGGCTACACTCAGAATTTCAGTGACCTTTATACTTCTGCTTCAGTAAATCTTGTTAGAAACAGTGGGAATACTCTTCTAAAACTGGCTGCTACACTTCTACAGACAAAGTCCTTGGACATGCTTTTAGCTAAATAAAAACAGTGCAGGCATCTGCAGCCAACAGTGATGCTCTTCCACCGAACTTGGAGATTTATAGTTCATAAGGATTTATGAATGTATATAAAAAAGTAACCCCCTTCCACAGGAAAACAGTTCACTGAAGCAGTAGCAATATTAAATGAGCTGATTGCACAGAGAGAATTAAAAATCTGTACAATACTCACAAAATCATCTACTTGCTTTTAAATCACCCTAAAATTCAAGCAATCTACATAGTAGAACTAATTTTAATATATAAAAGGTATAATCATATTGCAAACACTTCTTTAATCATTTAGTTATTACTTCAGAAACTCTTACCTGTATTTACAACTGTATATTCTCACTCTGCCTTCAGTGACAGGTCCAGGGCTATGTATTATTACCTCGACAGTGTACAATCGATCCTCTTCATTGGCATACTCAAAAACCAGAACATAGCGACCGACTTGAGGAACATCTATGGTTATCTGTAAATTGACCTAGGTCAAGATAATTGAAAAAGAAAAAAAGCCATTAGATTTTTATCTCCCTATCTTGCAGGAAGCTCCCTTTTCCTGCCCTGCAAGCCAAACAGTCTGCATTAGTCCACTACTGTATGACCAAAAGACATCCAGCAGAATGGAAGCAATGCTTATAAATGTAATTGTGTCCACTAATAAACGTCAACCAAGTTCAAGAAACAGCTGCCATTATAACAGTTCTAGGAAGGCTGTAAAATAAGCCTAGGAAATTAGCCTATTCCCCTCCTTCCAGTAGAAAGTACCAGTGAGGAAACTTTAATGATACTGAAAAACTGTCACCCTCATCTTTAAGCTATCTTTAATAACAAATAAAATTGGACTCTGTTTCTCCACTGAGAAAACCATTTCCAGGAACACAATTCCTACTACAGCAGTGCTGTGTATTGATTTCCTACAAAGAGAAAAAGCATATTCTCCAGCAAACAGCTAATGCCACTTTCTGAAGCATTAAGTTTTTCTTTTAGTTTACCTGCATAAATTGTTTAAAATAATATCTGATTCAAAATACTTTGAAGTAGTTCCATAGAAACTACTGTGGTTACAGCAGGTTTTGCTACAGTTGGCTATATAATTCTTTTCAAATTTAAACTATTTTTTCTCAGTATTTCCTTAGGCTACAACCACTGAAATGTGTAAATAATTCTGTCAACAGCCCTCTTCACTGCAATTATTCATACCAGTAAAGTTTTGCACATATATCAGTGATGAAGCACTAGGATATGTGGCAAGTAAGTATTCTTGTTGCACTTGGTATTTTTAAAAGCAATATCAGAGCACAGTAACAGAGGACATAATCATTTTACATGTCATTATCATGTACTTGATAAAATACCTTATTTTTATCAAACCTATTTCTAGTATAATTTTTAATTTCACCAAGCATATGTTTCTCTTTCAATGGACCTACAGCAGTGGCGTAATTGCTTCTGTTTTATTTTTTTAGTAAAGCAAACATTTTACATAAGTATAGTTATTTAAGAAACAAAAAGAGGTAATTTAGAGTGACTTAGGTGCACCATTTCCGCTGACAAACCATTACTCTATTTCAGCTGCAATTAAACAGTATCCTGAACAAGTCAAAAAGCCTAAAGCAGAGGGATTTTTATTTAATAAAATACTTTCATCAGAGTGAAATGTCCACTCTAGTCACAGTTATAAATCTGCCTACAATGATCTGTTTACACAGTGCTGTATAAAACGCAGAACGTGGTGCAGTCTGTTTTAGGGATGCATTACGGATCTGCAAACCCAAGCTGTGCATCTGCAATCGTTTTAGTCCTCTAGGTTTACAGTCAACAGCGCAGACAGGAGTGCAGTTAGCAGGCAGGAATCTGACCTCTCTTCCACTGATATGGGACATCACTGGTTGATCAGGAGTTGGCTGTCGCGTAGGTATTTTTCTGTATTCTCCCCCATGGCTGAGATACGCTGCCTCTGAACCAAGGACACAGGAAAATCTGCCCAACGGCAAATGCTGATAGAGCAAGCAGCTTACCCAAGAAAAACCCAAACAAAAACCAGGATTATTATTGTTTTCAAGTGCAGCAGGATAATAATAAAACAATTCAAGGCAATGGTTTATTCTGTAGAATATATACTGACTGCTCTGTTGAAGCACGTCCTCCATAGGTGCAAGGCTCTGTAACTTGTATCTGCAAGATGGATGCTTCATAGTAATCACTAGGTAACAGCACCATATAGTCCTAAGAACAAAGAATACAACAAATGCAAGATCACGCAGAAAATTACAAAAGGAACACCTCTAGACTTTCACAATATAGTGATGAACAAAACCAACCACAAAACCATTTTTACAGAGGACATCAGCAAGACATGTGGATTTTTTTGTTGCTACAGGGGCCAATAACATCACAGAATCATAGAATCATACAATCATAGAATGGCCTGGGTTGAAAGGACCTTAAATATAATCTAGTTTCAACCCCCCTGCTGTGGGCAGGATTGCCAACCACCAGAGCAGGCTGCCCAGGGCCCCATCCAGCCTGGCCTTGAACACCTCCAGGGATGGGGCATCCACAACTTCTCTGGGCAACCTGTTCCAGTGTCCCACCACCCTCTGAGTGAAAAATTTCCACCTAATATCCAACTTAAGTCTCCCCTCTCTTAGTTTAAAACCATTCCCCCTCATCCTGTCACTATCAACCCCTGTAAATAGTCGCTCCCCCTATTCCCCATCAGAATGTGTCTCCCTAACTCTACTTATACCTTCATAGCGATGGGACAAGGGCAGCTGTCCTGTGAGCAGGGAAGCTCCACAGCCACCCTCCCATCATGGGTTGTACCAGACGGTGCTCACGAAGGAGGCTCCCCATGGCTCAGTAATATGCAGCCAGCTGGGTGTGGTTTTCACCCACGTATGCAATCCACACACATACAACTCGACCATGCGTGACTATGCAAGGGAGATTCATGTATCCCAGGTGACTTTATAAAAATATTCCATGTAATCTATTAAGGTGTGCTTCAAAAGCTTGTATATTTTTGCTCTGCCTTGCCTACTTAAATTTACATGTTAGAGCTTATTTATACAAACTGTTATTGTGAGAACATACGGGGCTAATGTAATTAATAAATTCCTTTTCAAAGGTACTAGCATTAAAATTTGGGCACAGTAAGTACTGTCACTTTCAGCAAGAAATATGTTTTCAAGCTCTTTAGAAACATTTCATGTGGTATTCCATAAATTTAACAGAGCCCCAGGCTTAATGACTAAAGACACTGGCTACTTGTTAACCCTATGCAATATACATATGAATTTCAGTATGCTGTCTCTGTGATCATACATGCTTACAGTTTTTCATAAATGACCACCTCAAACAACTTGTCTTTTTATAGCAATTTTGCGGAACTGCTGTCATAAAAGTTTTCATTTTTTTCAGTGAGTGAAAGAAGAGTGGGATGGATGGATGGATGGCCGGCTGGACAGACAAAAACATCCAGAAAATGACCTGCTAATCATGCAGCCCATCGTATGATACTTTTCTGAAGAATCTTTGTCAAGAAACTAAGTCCTTGGTCATCTGTGGCTGAGCCAATCTTTAGATATGACGTCTGATATGTAAGAATTACAACATTCTGTGAGCATTTATGCTCAACCAATGGTCCTGTATGTTAATATTACTTTATCCTTTGAATGTATAAATACCAGACAGACTGTTAGTCTGTAAGCACAAGAAAAATCAGATCAAGCTAAAGTCAGAGAAGAAAAAAAATTAAATAAGAGGGAGAACTGTAAATCTTCATAATTATATTCTGCTGCTATACTCTTTTCACTACCACTGCATTTTATCTGCTTGCAGGGTTCTTCCCAGCAAATAACTCCAGAGCAATACTATAATGACAGCCTTCAAGCACTTGTTTTCCTCCATTGTTTTCTTACCAAAAGGACTTCCTCTGCCATTATACTGACAGTCCACGTGCCTGGAACCAGTGAGAAAGGTTCTGCAGAGTTTTTTCCTGGGATTGTGACAAAAGCTGGCTCCTTGCTGGGTGGGAAGACAAACTCTTTGCTCTGAGCAACCCCTGCCAGCAAAAAAAAAACACCAAACAAATCAAGTAAAAAAATTAGGGACAGAGTAAAATGTCTCTACTTGCTTAGTGTACTGGACTGATGATTTGATCCATTAAACTTGGTCTAACAGGAGCTGATCAATGTTTTTCTGTCAATATATATTAACAGTGCATTCGACCACACACAGTAAGGCTACAGAGCTATGCAGTGGTTGTTGTCTTCATTCTTATTAGTCTTGAGCAATTTGGTTCAGAAAAGCAGAGCTCTGTAATGGCCACTTTTGCAACATTCTGAAATGCTCACTTCTTCACTTTCCCCCTCCATTACTTTCCATTCAACCTGCCTCTGCATTGACTCACGATACGTTCAGCTGACACAAGGCCAGTTCTCATGTGACTTTCAGCCACATATTTCAGATACTGGAGGTTCCCAGTAGCATCTAAAATGTTCAGTTACAAACAGAAAGTGAAGGTTACTTCTGGCAGAGATAACGTACAACAGAAATGTAACTGCAGTATGCTTTATCAAAGAGAAGTAGTTAGTATCAATTGTTATGAATATTATAGGTTTCCTCTTTGAAGCTCCTGGACACAGACAAAAGCTGGTTCCCTGCCTCTCAGGCAATATAAGCCAGATATGACCACAAACTGCTGCCACTCTGCTGAGTGGTATCTGTGAAGTCTTCAGTTTTGTCTCCTCCGAATTACTAAAACGATCTATGACTAAACTCCACTAGCTCCCATCAGCATGCTGAGGTTAGGCATAATAACAGATAATTCTGCATACAAGGTTGGTATGCTTCTACCATTCAAAGGATATGGAGTACTTATCGTCTATCAGGGCCCAAAAGGCATCACATGCTGTTGAGGTCTGTAATCAGAGCTAACTCGGTAGATTGGATTCATCATTAAACAAATCTAATTCATGGAATGAAGGCAGAAGCCACTTTAAATTGAAATGTTAAAGGCAACTGAACCAAAATAAGTGCTGTTATCCCTTCTTTAAAAGCTTCATAAAACACACAGTTCAGAGCTTTTAAGTGCACAACTGAAAGTACTGAGCTCGGCAAACATTTGAAAAAACATATGTTGATTATTACTGTAAGCAGGGGTTTCATGCAAATACAGCCACATCAATTACACAGTAAAACATATTAGGAAAAGCACAAAAGCACCGACACTGTTAAAAGTGATGCATTTAAGCGACATTACAAATTTGACTTAGGTGCACCTTGAAAATGCTCCTCTGATCTAACATGCATCGGACCTGTTGCACCATTGAGTTGCACCTACCTGTTTCAGGCCGAGATTGACAGGCAGATATGCAGCCAGATAATGTTTCACCTCCAGGGTTAATATACCTCAGGATAATGCGAAATAAGTAGAGGTTTGATTTTTCCACATTCAAAGTTATCCTCACTTCATTCTGAAACATGGAAGTTAATAAACAAAAACAGCCGTAAAGTGCTGAATAGAGGAACAGTTAGAAGCCATGCAAGCACCACACTAAAGTTCTACAAGAAAAATGCACATGCAGACAAGTCTACACTGGAATGGCAATGCTGGTGTATGACAGGGGAAGACAGGTAAGCCTAGTGAGAAAATTAATTCACTTACAAGTATAATTAGTGCCAAAATGTTTTCCCTCAGCAACTGAGATCTTCCCTTTAGAGCTTTTTGAGCCCAGGCTGACATAGTGGAGGACTAGGTGGAAGAGCCTAGGGGAAGCCACAGTGACAGGCACAACCACCTCGGGCTGGGAAACATAAAAAGAAAAGGAAAAAGGAGGAAAGGAAAGTATATTATTTGTTACTAGCACCCAGAGAAAGAAAAACCACTTGGCAAAGACAAACTCCACAAAAGAAAAGAAAGACTCAGGGAGCTTACAAAAGAATACAGAAAAAAACCCTTTTGTTGAACAATGGCTTATCCAGAAAGACATGGAATAGCTGAACTAACTTGTGTGTTGATATTGCACCTTGACACATGGACAGTATTTTGCCGTTATTCTCCCTTCCTGTGCCATAAAGGAGATATATGGTATCAAGGGCTGTCCACATTGCTGGCTTCCCGAGGAACGTGCCAGAATCATTGATCCTAGTCTGAGATCACACACAACGCACCACAGCTGTCTCAGACCGTTGCCGAAACTTCTTCTGCTCCTCCACCAGATCCCTCAGTTTCTTGCAGATGTGATGCTATAACTCTCTTTGCCCTGAGGCTGAAATGAAACCTCTGGAGCCACGCAGTTCTTGTCAGCCTGGACCAGCAGTGACCCGCAGGTGGCTGCATTCCCATGCCCCTCACTATTTAGTTTGCAGAGCAACTGAATCAGGAGAGGCACATTCAAACATTGGTGGTGGATTAGGAAAATCTAGGATTGGTGCAGACACAAGGGTCTGGTTTCCTTTCTTCCATTCTAAATGCTGAAGCTCCTGTCATAATTCAGCTCCACCAGTCCACCCATCACAATTCACTCACTGTCTCTTTCCAAGATGCTTGTGGGACAGTAACCTACCCACCACTGTGATCCATTCCACTTCCCCAAAAGCACACAGGCTTTCTCAGTTCCATACATTTGAGAATGGAGAACAAAGCCTCATTTTCTCTTACTGATAAAGGCTACCACAAATGCTAGATTGCCAGCTCTCATATGCTGCTCTGAATGTATATTCCTCATTTCTGTCACCATCATCCCAGACACCTCCACTTTCTTCAAAAGGCAAAGCAGAAATCAAAGACAGACATAGGACAGATGGCAGGGCCACGAGATCTACAGAGACTAGACAGATAAAATCTAGGCAACTGCAAAAGGGCAGTGGACCAGAACAGAAAATACAGGCAAAAAATAAAACCCCCAAAAAATACAGAAACATGCTTCAGGAGATTTATCACAATGGTTTCTAAGTTTAATGGAAGATAAGAGATATGTCAGGAATGATAGAGGAAGAGACATCAGTCCCTGGCTTTAAGCAAAGGCAAGGAGTGGGGAGAAATTATTATTTGAGCTCTGTCACAAACTCAGGCAACTCTGGCCAGTGCTCTAAAATCCGAGCACAGCTGTCAGCTTCTCAATCTGTAATGAGACACCCTTGTTGGCAGCATGACAGGGCACCTGTGGCCTCCGCTGAGGTCACACACACGTTATTTATTTTCACCTTCAAAAATTTTAATTGTATTGAAATAGTTTATTTGCCATTTGTGTGGTAGACATTGTAACAATATTTGTCTTCCACTAAAGAAATGTCAAGAAGAGTATTTCAGGGTCCTGCAAGACACAGAAACGGTATGTCAAAATCAGGGGAGTTCTTTGAAATGAAGAACGTGAGACTATCTCAATTACGCAAGGGGGGCCTGGACCTGGCACTTACATGAGCAAAAAGCATTATCCAGGTAAGCAAAGTAATGCATTTTAGCAGGATTAGAGACTAAGCCCTTTCACTACTTTACAAAATGCCACTGGATATAAAATGCAAAAACCAGCTGAGTTACAAAGCAGAAGTTAAGGAATCACAGCTGCTGATGAGTTGCCTTCATTGGTGAACGCAGAGTAATTCTGAAGGTCCAACAAATACGAGCTCTGGGATAAAAAAGGAAACTAAGCAAAAGAACAAGGAGGAATGAATGAAAAACAAGCACAGGAAATCACTATGCTTGTGCAATGATTACGTGCTTATGTCTCAGCCTATATCAATCCATTAGTCCTCAGACAGCTTATGGAGGCTGGACACAACCATATCTGAGGACGAAAAAATTCTAATCAGCGCCACAGCACTACAGATAACAGAGTACTACTTTTAAGAAGAGTAAACAAATCCCATTTATTGCTCAAGTCTACTGTTTTTAAATCCTGGTTCACTTGCTCAGCAGTTCAATCCAAAGTCAGGCAGGTTCCTTCTCACACAACTAAATTATGGCAACTTTCTTCCTGCGATTTATTTACTGTTGTTTACTTTATTTGTAGACTGTCATGAGACAAAAATAAATGTTGCCAATACGCTCCTTCTCACAGCTTCTTCTACTGAATCGCACATTTTTCCATTTGTTATAATGTGGAGGTATCATTCCTAATAAAGTTGGTGCCTTTCTCTTCCTTGCCCAATACAAGCTGCAAGTGTAAGAAGGCTTCAATGACAGTGCTGTGATGGTACCTGATAATCTTATGGACACAGACTGCTACACAATTGTGTAATCCAAATGATTTAGCCAAGCATCAATCTTCCGCTGTTTCCACAGTCCTTGGCGTGACAAGAATTTCTGCACTTAATATTACAGACTTTAAAGCTATCAGTTCCTTTCTTTAAACCTATCACAAAATGCACATTTCTCACAAAAGAGCCCTCAAAGAACATCTCTGAAAAACACGTTTGCATTAGCAACGACCAGTTTACAATAATAGCAACACTCACCAATCCAAACAGCGATAGAGTGCCAAAGTGTTTGGATCAGTGAGGTCCTGTCCTCCTTCTGGTTTCTCCATAACCTTGCACACACGTAGCAGTACTATACAGAAATATATATCATACATCTGTGTTTTCACCCCAAAGCCTTGAGTGAAATACCAGCTTACCTGTATAGAGGACATCTGGGCATATCCTCTCCAGCTGAAGCTAGGAAATTCCTGGGGATCATAGCCAAACCGAGCTTCCCTTCCCCCGGCAGTAGTACCATCTTCAATCTCAAACTTCATGTGGTGCAAATCAGGGAAAAAGTAGTTTTTTTCAGGCCTTTCAAGGAGAAAACAAAACAACAAAGAATTACCAGTTGCTGTATGGACATCTAAGAGCATAAAGCAGTGGAAGCGAGGTGACCTGCTCATGACTGAGGAATCTTGATAGCAGCTTATAAATTCAAGACAGCTGATAAGATGAATGTAATTAGAATTATCTTTCCAAAAGCTTTTACAGCTTACATATGTTTTCCTATATAACTCTTAATAGATGTATAGATACATACACAATACTACTGCACAACAAGTGTTGGTTATTTAAGGAAACAAGTTAAAAAATCTTATTAAAATAACAGAGGAAAACTGACAGGCAAAATAAATATCAGTGACTATTACTGCAATTTATCAGCTTATTTATCAACAAGTCCAGAATGTCAGGAAAGTATAGCAAGGGACGATGAGCAGTTTCAAAAGAACTCTGCTGAAGCAGGAGCTATCAGGGGCTGCAGCCAGACTCACTCCCGACACGCTGTCCCCATGATGTGCGCCCTGCACTGGCAGCCACCCAAGGGCTCGGCACACGCTGGGCTCAGGGATCCTCCAACATCACACCAACAACCTGTCAGGCAAAGAACAGAAGCCAAATATCCCATCAGAAAAGAAGTGATAAAAGTTATCAGAAAACACACCTAGCTTCCGCTAATTAAACACCACTATCGACTCATTGCCTCCTTCTGGAGTCCTTCAGGCTCCCCTCCCCTCAGACTCTTTCAAACACATGCTAACACACATGCATAAGCTGCAATTATTTCTGGCTTCCTATGTTTGGGGCTGCTTTCTGTATTTCTCCTTGGAATGTGACAAAAGCCACTTTTTAAAAAAATCACAAGTAATAAGCCATGCCACATTACTAAATGCTGGACTACAGTTTTGCAAAACTGCAGCTCAAATGTTTTGCTAATAAGTCAGAATTTCTACAGCAATATCACAATGAATAATTATTTTAAAAACCCAAACCATAACTTACAGAATTAGTAAGATGTTAATTTTTCAAAGTTTGGTACCCTGATATTTAATTTATCTTACAAAAATTACACACAACAAGAACATACATGTTCGTACAATAGCATTGCATATTTTTAACCACTACTGGACAACAATATCAGATTACTTTCTACAGGAGACAGGACTTGTGGCATAAACTAAAGTACACCTCTAGTAACAAGGTATAATATATTGTACTAAGGAACAAGTATGTCTAGGCTATAGATTTCAAACTGAATTGAAAGGTTGAAAGTTCCTAAACATGTATTTACATCATAGTGTAAATGCATCCTGTTTTCTAAGACATATTAAGCACCTGTAATCTCACTGAAATCAAGGATAAAGTATTTTACACCTTTCTGAAACCAGATCTCTTTTGTTAGCTCCTTGGTTTGCACATTAGGCACGAAAACTTTGTTTGATACACTAGTCATTATTTTTAACACATATTAAATGATTGTTAGAAGTACTTCAATGCTTTAAAAATAAATCTCTTGCATCACTCCTGGACAGGTGTAAAGTACAGGGAAGTCAATGAAAGTGATTTCAATAATTTTAACAAATCTAAATCTACAGCGTGGGGACAAGCTGCTACTGCTGAAGTCGCCCTACATCCCTCAAAATACATGGCAGAGCAAGTATCCTTCAGAGGAAGGACCACTTTCTCCACACCACAGCTACATCTGGTTCTGCTTCAACACACATGAAGCCCCGGGCTAAAGCAATACACGAATACACCTGAAAAAAACCCCCAAAAACCCCAAACCAGAAACAATCAATCAAACAGGCTAGTATCTGTGTGACATTTTAAGTTCTCATTGCAGCAGCAGATCTTACAAAACTGCTAAGCAGAACAGGGAGCTACCACTCTTACAGGTTACACTTGCAGGAAAATCAACCATCCCTGGCCCCACAATTCAGAAGGGGTGAGAAAGTTGATGATTATCAGTTATCTTATTTGATAACAGCTTCAGCAGCACCTTGTGTGACCTCACTGCGGGCTTTGACAGAGAAGCCTCTGACAGGTAAATGAGGCACAGAGGAAGGCGAGGTGAAGGACAATGAACTCAAAGAGGAACAGGTTTCCTCATGTGAGCAAGCCACAGAATGGCTGTGAACCACAGTGGTAACATTTGCCTTGTTCTTTCTCCCTTTGGAAGGCAAAGGAGGCGTTACACGGGTCACAAGCAATTACAAAAAAATAGTGCGAAATGCTGTGCACGTGAATGATTCAACAAATACATCCACATTTTCAAAATACAATCTAGGGAATTCTAAAGATTTTAGTGCTACATGCAAATGTGCCTCTAGAGACATCCTTTATTCATTTTACCTCGGCAGCCAAAATAATTCTTGTTTTCGAGACCATAATAACCAGCTTCACAAGTGTCACAGGAATCTCCACAAACATTAGGTTTGCAATAACAATGCCCATTTTCCTGTGAAGAAAACAATTTCATCAAAAATGTTTCAGCACCTTTTTCAGAACTTTAATATTTCAATATTTTTAATTCCCTCTAATTCTACAGAGGAAAAACATTCTAATCTCAATATTATCGGACACAACTTCTGTCATTTATCATCTCCAATGAACAGACTAGAAAATACATAAACTCAAGATGATGAAAAATTTTCAGAACTTTTATACATCCCTAGGATGTATAAAACCGCTTCTTTACTATATAAAACCAGCCACTTGATGTGCAAAAGCAATAATCAGTACTAGGATTTCTACTTTACCAAATGTTACAACAATTTACCTTTACAAAAATTGATTTAAAGTCTTTCTTTTCATTTCACTTTACCTGCTGACATTCTCCAACTCCACTTAGTGTTCCACTCACATCACACTGGCATGCTGCACAGATGAAAAAAAGACAATTTGTATTTTGTCTTTTCAAGATACTTTACAGGAAAAAAAAACCCACCATCCTGAATCTGCAATTTTGAGTCATAGTGCCACAAGGTGGATTTTACTCTGGAAGGTTCAGAATAGAAAACAGATACAGGCACACGGTAAGAAGAAAAAGCAAAGGAGAAAGAATTAGGACTTCTGTGTATGTGTGTTTTACTGCTATGTTCTAACTTGTGCTTAACAAAAACGGTCTTAAGTCTGGATTTCCATTTGTTTTCTTTCTTAGAAACATTCAGACAATTGATGCAAAACAGTGTCTTCCAGCCTGACTGGCACCTTCTGTTCTGCAGTGCTACTTTGGGACCAGCTCAACTTTCCATATGAAATATAAGTGAAGCAAATATTGTGGGAAGGAGCTATGCTGACCTAGAGGTTTGGTAAAACCCAGTATCGGCTCTGCAACTGAAGGCAGAGACGATGAAATACATGAAAGGTGCAATAATTAATCTTTGAGAAGATGTTTAGGCTGCATAGTATTTAGAGATTTAGAGTCAAAGACACGGTGATCCCATCTCACTCCAGTAAAACTGCCATAGCACCATATGAAGTACACGTCACTGTAACTTAGAGAACACCTTGGTCCATCACTAGCAAACTCTCATGTGAAATTATGGTCTAATTTCTAAAAGTAACTGCTGGTATCGTGGGTAATGTGGTGTTACAATTAAGTACCATGAAAAATATGCTGTTAACAAGAGTTGTGAAAATTACTGAGCATCAAAGGTGGTGACAGCAACTAAAGATTACTTTCAAAAGGATTTAACACATTCAATAAGTAAAAGAAATATGTCATGAAGCCATACCTGTACATCCCTCGGGGTTTTCTTTGGCCAGGTTCCAGTACAATGGTTTGCATTTACTACAGGTAGGACCCTCAACGTGCTGAAGACATTGACAATAGCCCTAATGACAGAAAGGAGTTAATACGGCTTCACCTGTTTCCGAAAGAACATACTGCTCTTTAGTACTAAGAAAAACCCAGTATTATTAACAGCTCAGGCAGTTTACTGACTTTTACAGATGCATGGAAACTGCAGCCAATTCAGACTTCTTAAATTTTTCTGTCTCACACTACCAGCACATGATTCTTCCACCCTGAGTATTTTTTCCATATCCAATTTATTCTAAATTTCCCAATGGATGTACTTTCCAATTATTTTACAGCCATGTTAGAACTGCTCTAAAGTATGAACTGTTTTGCAAAAAGTTTAAAAAACAATTTTTTTTAAAAATAATCATTAATTTTAAAATTTACTCCTTACTTTATTGGTGGAAGACACACATAGCTATATTTGTTACCGTACGTAGATACTTCTTCCATCGGTCTTACCCTCTAGGTCTCCTTTGCTACACATTTAGCAATGACTGTGATTTCTGGTAATATGCTACTACTGATAACCATCACTGTAGTAATAATGATAATAGTGGAAGAGCAACAGTTACAATGAGATAATAATTTTTCCAAGAATAATTTGGTACTGAAATGGCCTGTTGCAAACCAGAACCAGAAGGTCTTTGAGACATGCATAGACATATCTGCACATCTGTGTGTATATATTAGTGTTCTAGCATACCAAGAAGACATATACAGTATGCATACTCCACATATAAAAGATTTTTTAAAATAACCTTAACAGGTAATTGCACTGATATGACCAAAGAACAAAACACAAAGTTTATTTCTACTCTTACTCTGCATATAGGCTCATGCAATTCTTTCACAGCTTAAAAGCAGGCTTCAGGGCTTGAGCAATGAAGTGAAAGCGTTCAGCAAAGGCACATGAATTATTAACACATACTGTTAGCTGCAACGACAGAATACTTACAGAATAAGAACCAACGCTACCTGAAGGGTCACACTCGCTGTTGACACCTTTATGAAATTAAAAAATAAACACATTCAAAGACCTTTGAAAACAGAGCTATGGAATGTAGTAACGCAGAAGTACAATGCAGCAGGTGTGAGTTTGAAAGGGCTTTTTAATATCTTGGAGGGACTCAAATACTTGAAACTTCAAGACCAGCAGAAATCTTTAATAATGATTTTTCAAATGTGTATTTAGCCTGGCTTCAACTATTTGGTTTGGTATGCAAAGTAGTCATTTGGAAAAATATGGCATTAACCTACAGAACTGAGAGACATTCTCTTAAAGTTCCTGTGTCATCACCTAAAAAAGGTTTTAATCTTATAGCTCACTTTACAAAATAACATACAGAATGACAAATAAGCTCATCTAACGTGTGCTCCTGGTGCGTCCCTCCCTCCTTCTCCATGCTTCAGGGGGTTTCTATAAAACTTTGCAAGCAGCAGACTGTCCTGGAGAAACTCACAATAAAAATGGGAATGATCCGAATGAGAATGGAGGGTTTTCCCCCAGAAGTGTTACCTTCGCAGTAGGGGAAACTGGCAGCTGCAGAAAGGCATCGGTTGCACTGTCGCCCCGTGACGCCCGTCTGACACTCACACTGCCCCATCGTTGGCTCACACTGGCCATGCTGGGAACCATCAGGAGAGCACTGACAAGCTACACAACAACAAACAGGGGCAGTGGTGTGAGGGTTCACCCTGTAGGTACCAAGCAATAACTTCCAAAGCTTTAATACTGTAGAGGTTTGAGTACTATTTGTCTAGAGTGTTCTTCATTTTTCTGTGCAATTAATAGCTCAAAAGCTCACTGGTTTCTCACCCCTGGTTGTTTCGGATTCCTACATAAGGTCTCAGTTTTGCAATGATTTACATGCACAGGGTAAATAATAATAACACCACAAAAAAGAAAATGCTGATATAGCCCAGGGGACTAATCTTTGCTCAGATAGAGTCTAAGGGTGAAAAAGTTAATGACGATTATTTTGTAAAGCAGTAGCCAGTCTCCCAAAGAGAGGGAACAAACCTGTCAAATTATTTTTTTGCTGTGGTTGTGGTGATGAGTAATAGCAGAATTCTGAGGATACATTCCTTCTTTAGCACTAATAATCTTATGATTTCTAGGAAAGAGCAGGCCTATTCACGATGATCAAGTAGCTTGCTGATTTCAATTATAGAGCCTGCAGGTTTCCATCTGCTTGATGTGAAAAACCCATACATACACTCTGGGCCTCATCAATTGATCTACACGGGCAGGAAAAATTGTTAATGTGATAGACGATTTGCAAAGTCAAGTCCTTCTAGACTAGGATTGTTGATGCAATATTGACACATGTCAAGAGCACATACTAATGCATTTAAAGGTTTACAGGAGAGTGTTTCAGATATTAGAAGCCCACACAAGTTGAAATACAACTTATATTCTGTAAGTTGAGTGACCCAGAACTCATAAGAGCAAATATCCATTGCCCTGCCTAAGCTTTAGATTTCAAAAAAGAGATACAGCTGTGCCAAAGCCAAACACTGCCAAGCTCACATTATTCCAACTAGCACAGGAACAGTGATGATGTGCCAGGGAGGGCTACCAGAGTGCCTGCCTGCCTGGAAGCCTGGCCACTGCCTGGATCTTCAGTGGTTTTGTTGCAAGCTTTGGATGGAACAAAACTATCATAGTTATACACATAACTCCAGTCAAAGGAAGAAAGGCTTTTACTCACGCAAGCAGCTGGGATAGCTGTAATAACCTGGGGCACACTGGTCACATCTAAGTCCAGCATAGTTACTACGGCACAGACACTGCCCTTGAGGACCACATGTATTCTCCACGGAGCCAAAAGTATCACAGTTACACTCTGCACAGAGAAAAAAACCAAAAGCAAACAAACCTATCCTGACAGATACATGTGTAAACCAGTAGTTATTTAAACCAGAATTTGAAAAAAAAATTTAAAAAAGTCACCTTTGAATGTAAAGCAACCGTGAGGAATCCAGACTAACCATAATTTTACAACCAAAACCAAACATCCTGAAATAGATGCTTATAATGTCATTGCCTCTCCAGTGATTGATGATCAGGTCCTTATTGCAATTCTATAATGTACAGTTTAGGGATTTAGTTTGATGCCTTGCAAAACACATGTGTAAGGGACAGAAATCCACCTTGACATGGAAAGAACATCCCATGAAAGAAATACTTAACATCTTTAAAAAAAAACCTCTGAGAAACAGCACCCACAAAGCTGGGCTAGGTCTAATGGCTAAGAAGAAACTTACTAGTCAAGCAGTTAATGACGCACAAGCACAAGTTCAGGATGCACAAATAAATTATGCACAAGGTAAAAACTGCTGACATCTTCATTCTACAAGCTGGCAAGCAGTGCACTGCAGCAATCTGCATCTAATACACAAGGCACATTGTCAGACTATAATAACTAGCTGGATGGCTGCTTCTCGGAGTTATCACTATTTTAGGCTAACAGCTCTATCACAGATAAGATGCGTTATGTCACTGAAATGATGCTGGAAGTTACACAGGCTCACACTTTTTTAGGCACATGAACAGGGGCCCATCTGGGACTCCCAGCTGCCCCAGGTACAAGCCGAAGTGTTGCAGTTAATCACTCAGTTTTTATGACTGACAGAAACGTCTGACTGACAAATATAAAACAAACACTGCCTTCTGTTCCATGTTCATGTTCCTGGTTCCCCCTTTCAGTTCCTCTTTCTGCTGCAGCCAAGGACATCTGACTTTGCTGTGTTTACTTCAAAGATGCCTGGAAAGATGCAGGGCTGGCTAGGAAGTCAGTATAAGAGAAATACAAATATTGACGCTTCCAAAAACATCAGCTACACCAGAGTGCACTCCCAGCTGAACATTAAATTGCATTCTCTCCTCATGTTAATAACACTGATTTGTTTAAAGGCTTTATTTTGATATCACTCCTATTGAATAAAGCTTCTATTGGGTTCAACAAGGTAAGACCAGACAGATCAGTTTTAGCTGCAGCAGCTAAAAAGTTATAGATCTCTATCTCCCTTCTGAGGATGACAACTCCAAACAGGAGTAGCACAGGGGGCTGCTCACTTTCCATCACAGTTTGCAGCATGCTGCATTAGTTTAAATTTAAACCCGTGGCAGCTTATTTTAACAGAACAAGCTGTGAACTGCAAGTCTGAAGTAATCACACTGACTGTGTTTTCAATTATTTTTATGTCTTTCACAATTGTTTTTGCAGGCCCTTTTCAGCTTTCATGTCTCTTTTCAGCTTTTGGTGTTAGAAGTTCAAATGTATTCAATATGGGTTTGATTTGCTTTAAGATTGCTACCCGATCTAATTGCTACCAGTTCTAAGAAAAAGAACATTTGAGTTTTGTTATAAAACCACTGAACAGCACATACCAATGCAGAATCCTGATTTTATGTTTTTCATTAAAAATGTTAGTCTACTCCAGACCATAAAGACACAGTCATATGGTGTTTCTTCATTCCACCCATTGTGTTTGGTAATACAACATAATATATCTTTGCAAGGGCACAAATAAGTCTGCTGTCTATTCACAGGACATAAACAACTACAAAAGCCCAAAAGGAAGAAGACTATTACAGCCAACAGCAAATAATAATGAGAGAGGAGAAAGTAAATCATGATCTTGTTAAGCTGTACAGGAAAGTGCATACCAGAACTCAGCAACATCCTATATTATTTCTCAATGTACAATTCACTAAGGATTATGGGTTTCCCTCTCACTCCCCGCAAAGGCAGATGAAACCTAGAGACGAGACAGGACTTGATGGACTCCTCACATGCACATAAGACCACCATGATATTCAAGGTTATATTTCACTGATCTCTCTTGTATAAAGCAGGCTAGTCCTCGGCGGCAGGTATACTGGTGGAACCCCACAGAGATCTTTCACGTTTCATAAAGACATGAACAGAGGTTGGCTCTGTGCCTGTTGGATGATCTTAAAATGTGTGAGAAATCACTGTGAAGGGCAAAATGGGACCTTCCCATTTTCAGATTTACAGAACACACATTTTACAGGGTACCAAGCAAAGACCCTCTGCTAAAGCAGATCAGTGCTCCACAGCTCCACTATGCCAGTTCCTTAGCATCCAAGCATGCTCTGTTGATGTAGACCTCCATGTGAAAACAGCTTTCAAATCCTTTGGTTATTAGCAAGACAGCTGTGCTGACTGAGGCTATATCAAACAGTCTGACCATGAGAAAAAAAAAAAAAAAGTCTGTGAGAAAACAGACTATGTAATTGTTCCCTATAACAGAAACATGCTCGGAATAGGAGAATTAGAATATATGAGGATTCCACTGTAAAGCTCAAGAGTCCTTGCCCTTTTACTGCTATGAACATTGCTTTAACCACTGCAAAAGTGGTACCTGAGAAGCACTCCTGTCTGCCTGGTTGGGGGCCTGTTCTATGCTGTATACGCGATCGGCAGCCTTACCTTGACAGGCCGGGAACGAGTGGTGGCCAGGCTGACAGCTGTCACACTGAAGTCCAGCTACCCCTGAGCGACAAAGACACCTCCCAAGAAAATCGCAGACTTGGGGCTGGGTACCTGCCAGGTTACATTCGCACACTGCAAATGAGAAAAGACATTTCAAAGGCAGCCTCTGCAGAGGCTCTCTTCTTTTATCCTTCTTTAAATAATAATTAAAAAAAAGTGCCACTCCCTGATGCTCAACAGGACCAAAATCTTCCCATCTAATTTATTTTGATTCATAACAGCTTTTACTGATTGCCCACATCAGTAATAATTCAGTACCAAGGGAGACACTAATGAAAGAGCAAAAGCATCTTGCTCACAGTAACTACTGTGTTCACTATGAGTGCTGAAGCACTGCACTTTGTCTCACTCAGAGCCTGATTTATTTATGCCAAGCGGTATGCCAACTACTGAAAGCAATTCCATCCTCTTTAAGGCTAAAATGAAACAACTTATGGTTTGGATTTACAATATCAGGTGGGAAGGGTTAATAAAATGCCTAAAACAACAGTACGGAGATGACTGATAAAGTTTGAAAGCAGTCAGTTTTCTAGTATTGATTACAAAGGGCAGCTTGATGCATCAAAGTGAAGTTGCAAACTCAAACACAAACAAAATTTTTCAAAAACAAGGACAAGTAACAGAAATGTTTCCACTGGTATTCTAAATTTCATCAATGTCACAAACTCCAACCTCAAACTAGAGCCTGACAGCTGCATCATACAGTAGACAGCAATCAATGAAACGGACATTTTTAGATAGAAATCCCCCCTCATCACATTTTTTCTTCTTCTTTGACTTCTGTAGTTTTGGGAGAGCCCCTTATGAACACATCTCTGTGGCAAAAAGGATTGAAATGCCCTCAGTATAAAACTTGTGTCTGTTTTTTGGATATGCTTGCTGAAAGGGAATGTTTTGGCTTACCCTGGCAGAAGGGGTAACGAAAATACCCATCTGTGCAGGTATCACAGGAAAACCCCTGAAATCCAGTTCGACATCTGCACTGTCCGGTGTTTCCATTGCAGTCACCACCCAGCATTCCCGCACCATGGCACTGGCACGCTGAAGAGCACATTTGTAAAGAAAACATTTCACAGAATCACAGAATCACAGAATGTTAGAGATTGGAAGGGACCTCGAAAGATCATCTAGTCCAATCCCCCTGCCGGAGCAGGACACCTAGATCAGATCACACAGGAACGCATCCAGGCGGGCTTTGAATGTCTCCAGAGAAGGAGACTCCACAACCTCTCTGGGCAGCCTGTTCCAGTGCTCTGTCACCCTCACTGTGAAGAAGTTTTTCCTCATATTCAAGTGGAACCTCCTATGTTCCAGCTTGAACCCATTGCCCCTTGTCCTATCACTAGATGTCACAGAGAAGAGCCTGGCTCCATCCTCCTGACACTCACCCTTCACGTATTTATAAACATTAATTAGGTCACCCCTCAGTCTCCTCTTTTCCAGGCTAAAGAGACCCAGCTCCCTCAGCCTTTCCTCATAAGGGAGATGCTCCATTCCCTTAATCATCTTTGTGGCTCTGCGCTGGACTCTCTCCAGCAGTTCCCTGTCCCTCTTGCACTGAGGGGCCCAGAACTGGACACAATATTCCAGATGCGGTCTCACCAGGGCAGAGTAGAGGGGGAGGAGAACCTCTCTTGACCTACTGACCACCCCCCTTCTGATACACCCCAGGATGCCATTGGCCTTCCTGGCCACGAGGGCACAGTGCTGGCTCATGGTCATCCTGCTGTCCACCAGGACCCCCAGGTCATTTGCGGTGTTATGATCTGAAAGTTCCTATTTCACTTGGAAGCTGAATGCTGGCATTTACACCAGAGCTCAGGCTCCAAGCATCAAAGAAACTATGGCACTTACGCAGACAGTGGGGGCCAAAATACCCTGGTTTGCAGCCACCTTCTAGTTACAACAGGAAAGGAAAAGAAAGAAAAGAACAAAGTTAGTGCACAAAATCATGCAACTCCTCATATTTTTTGCAGAGAAAAACAGATCAGGGCTCAGTAATTATTACTCTTGAACTGACAAAACTATTTGTATGACGCTTACGCACAAATCTCATTAAAAAAAAATTAATTGTGCCTAGTCTGCCAGCACAAATTTACAACTTCTACAGACAAAGAAGCTTCCACTTAGAGGCAGTTGCCTTTCTTATGCCTATGGACTCAGATGCTATTCGTTGAAAATGTAAACAGCTCAATATTTTTTTTTCTCCTGTTTATTCACAATATCTTTGGAGTTTTCTTTCTTCTTCATTTTAAAAATATATGAGAGAAGAGCATATGTGACAAAGCATACCCAGACTACCAAGGAAATTATTTTGGATGCTGTATGAAGGTGATAAGCGGTAGAGGAGACTGAGGCTTTGTGGGCTGTGATGGCAATTGTTTCAAGAAAACAATTTGGACTTGTAAATATACATGGATTAGTACTGTCTGCTTATATCTGAGTGTCTGCTACATTCACAGAAGAACACACTTTTTCATTTGCTGGCATAAACTCCTGTTCTATTAAAGCTAACAGAAATAAAGTGAAAGAATGTTGATTTTAGGACATGGCAAAGGTTGTGAGGTTTTTTTAAAGTTATAAATCCTGAAGTGCATTACAAGTATGTATTTTATTGAGTGCTAGCTGTGATGATGTCTCAGTTCTGCAGTATAATAATATCTAATAAAAAATATAAGACCACTGAGGGAATCATTGTATGGATTTCGGGCAGCTTTGCAGTGGGCTAACTAAGAAATATGTAGCTCTCTTAGAAATCAAAGCTCTTCACTGCCTAGGGCAATGTACAATTTGCCAGGTGCAAGAGGACAGTCCAAAAGCAGAGGCCAGTTAGCCTTAAGAGATTTACACTGCAAAGCAGCTGACAAGTTGTACATGCCAGAAAGTTTTGTTGTTCATAAGACCACCAAACAAGATGGTCAGCCTCTTCTGCAGATGTTTGCCGGGGGCTGGTCAAACTTGTTTTGATCCATAAATCTTCCTGAAACCAGCCTACTAAACTGTTTAATGTGGACATGACAATGAGATGAACTTCCGGCAAGAACAAAGGCTCCCTGAAAGATAAATGCTATTAGTGGCTAAATTGCTGCCTAAAGGTCCATGAACAAGCAGGCACAACCAAAGCAGTGAAAAACAGTGACATGGGGATAAACAGTGAAATAGGGGGGAAAAAAACCACCAAGAACTTGACAATTATGTCACCAGCCACAGCATCTCTTGGATTTGGAGAAGTAAAAGGGTATACAGGAATACCTTTAAAACAAAAGAAACAATAAAGTGTATTTGAAACAGACGGGGTTATTTCACTAAAAATCATAACAAACTATGAAGTCATCGCCTGTCAATACAGAGAGCATGAAATTCACATGCCTCCCGTAACCAAATTCAGCTTAGATTTCTCTCAGTTAGGAAGAGGATAAAAAACATTTTACTTTCAATCTCTAATTCAGGTACAAACGTCCGTTCTTAAAAGAACAGTATGAAAGGCCAGACACCATTTGGAAATGCTACCAGGTTGCTTCCCTACTCCCCTCCCCTTTGTACAGAAAGCTTTCTCATGCTAGACGGTGCTCTGAGAGCTATCTAGGGAGCTCCATATTTATTTCACATTTCCTGCTTTCAGCTGAAGGTCCACCTCCTGCAAATGGCGTTATCACTCGCTGTCTGAACTGCCAGAATTCATGACATATACGTTACATCTCAGGAGCTTTTAATTTGAGATTAGGAATGGGAAAAACATCCCAACAAACTTTCCTCCATTAAGACGGGATCCAAAGTTGATGTGCTACAAAGATCAGTGGGATTTAGATCAAGGTCTCCCTGAGCTGAACTTTTAAATTTAAATGTTGGGTTTCAAACAAGAGGATAAATAAGATGCGATTAATCTAGAGTGCACTGTACAGAGAGAATTTACTCTATCACAACCATTTAATTCAAACAATATTCAATTTTTTACATGGTTTTTTCCTTGGTTTTTTATTGATTTCCCTCTTCTTCCATTTTTATCATGATACCTCTGGTTACTCAGACCTCAAATCTTGCCCCAGCTCAACACCTGCTTTATTTCCTGTCAGAAACATGCTTCTCCTGAGGGCACAAAACATCCCACTCATGCATTTTTAGAATGTGATCATGGAGTCACACAAGCTTTTATGCAGCAAACACAATTCTGATGTCACTTTTTCCTCAGTTATTGTATACATAATTTGTTTATGGGGAAAGCATTTAAATTGCTTCTTTTTAACACTTAATTTTAATCTATTTTAAAGTAAATCTAATTTTCAATTAATCAATAGCATTATATAGCATTCTCTTACCATTTTCAACAAGCAGAAGCACACAGCATTTGTGTCACATCATTTTTTCTAATATGTTTATTTTCTTTGGATTTACAAACACCTTTCCTTCAACTATTTCTTAAAAAATCTGAAACAACTAGAACCCTTCCTTCAACCACATATCTGCACCTACTTGCAGTCCAGCAAAAAATAAGAGAGCACGGCCAAGAGCCTTATGCTCTGCCAGGAGGGCCTTTCCAACATTACACAGGCACTATTTTATAATTATTTTTATTTATTTTAAAATCCTCTGAAAGCCCACAAGCTTTGTTTATCAGGGATGCAAGTTCCAAATCCTAGGAGACGTCAAGGAGAACGCATAACCATTTTCTCCCCTCCCTCTCACTACAGTCATGTTCCACCTCTCAGTCCAAGTGGTCTTTATACCACTGAGACATGTTTAAACAATTTGTCCAGGGTGTTGTTACTTACTGAGAGACAGGCTGTAGCCTCAACGAAGATGTCTTAAATGAACTCTGAATTGTGAGAAAGCAGCACAATCTATTTTATTTTCAAGTAGCCATAATTTTGTAAAATAAAACAGATTCTCTTCAGTATTATGACAACTGATTTATCAGAATGTGTGAATGTGTGAAGCTGAAATGACAGATGTTTTAACTAAGGCAAGTGTAATGAAAACTGTTAATTCTTTAATGCACACTTAAAATACCTGAAAAGAGGCATTTTTTATTTGTATACTTACGGACACAAAACGGGTAACCATAGAATCCATCAGCACAGAGTTCACAGTTTTCTCCCTGGAAATTCTGCTTACAGAAGCAGCGGCCAGTCCCTTCCTCACAGCCCTCTGCATGCTCCAAGTTACAACTGCAGGCTAAGTAAGGATCAGCAATTAGGCACTCTTTGGAAAAATATTAATTTGCCTTTTACAGCAGTGTGCGATGGCATTATAACAGTAAATTTGCAGCTTTGAATGTCTCATTATTTAAAGAACTAATATTTGCATGCTGTTACATATTTTCCAAGTACTTTCTATCACCAAATAACCTTAGTGATATCCCTTAGAAGTAAGACCTATGTGATTTTCTTAGATTGTTTAATTTTATTTTAATTCAGAAAGTTGCAAGTTACTACTCCACAGCACTGCACAACTATGGTGTCCGCTCACCTCTCTCCATGGTGTAGGCTAACCACCACCCTCCATCCACCTTCCCTCAGACACCCCGTGCAACATTATGGCAGCACACCACGGCTCCACTGACGTCCCATTCATTTCAATACCCAAACACAGCAAGCCGCAGCTTCCTCCTACCTGTCACAAGGCTCCTTCGGCCTGTTTGTAATTCAACACTTACCTCTTAACTATACTCAGGTCTTCTTCTTTAAATGTTATATTAGGAACTATGCTATTGCATTATTTATTAGCCGTTAGGTTTAGTACTGCATAAAATAAGAGTAGTGATCTTCATGACCTTTTGAGATACAGAATAAAATTTTCAAGTGACTAAGAGCCAAATGTACATCAGAGAGCTAAGAGAAGCAAGGTCATGAGGGCAGGATATAAGAGGTCATGCCAGCTCACTGTGGGGTGCACTGCAACACCCCGGGCTTACATGATCCTATCTCCTCAGCAGCCTTTTCTGGTTTACTTCCTCCTGTTATCCTATTGCTGGTCTGAAGCTTTAAGCTCATACAACACATAAGTTGGGAAGAAAGGGTCTAAAAGGGTCTAAAGCAACACAGAAAGAAATCTGCAGTTGTTCTCCAACAGCTTTTGGCTACTCTTTCATTTTTCCTCCCCAAAAGATGCATCCCATACCTTGATAAGAGACAAAAAAACCCCAAGCCACCACCATGAGAAGATGCTTAATAGGGAAGGACTCACGTATACAGCCGTCGGGAGCTCTTGCTGTAACACCATAAGGACGATAATAACCTTTTGCGCACTTCTCACAGTTAATACCAGCTGTGTTATGCTGTGCAAAATAAAACAAATGGAGAACACGAGATAAAAAGGGGAAATTGGAAGAATTAAGGAACAATAACATCCTTTACACTGTTCCTACATACAACTAAAAAAGGATCAACACAGGAAAAAAATGAAATATGACTGCAGTAAGGACAGCATTCATCATTTGCTGTTCTTTAACCACCTGTTCTCTGCAGGTTTCTGAATCATGGTATTCTCACATAAAGCATCTGAATTTTACCTTTAAAGCATTATAAAAAAGAACTATTTTTAAAAAAACTGGGGAAAATATCCCTCCTTTCTCTATCACATGATATTTATCTCTTTTTATGCTGCTTTCTTATCATAACGTACACATTGTTCAGGCAACTGCATAATGAATTTTTCCTCATACTACATATTATTTTTTTTAATACTTTATGTCTAAGGTCAGTAACATTGAAATAAACGAAAACCTGATCAGTCAGCTCAGCACAAAACAGATCTTCCATTAGGAAAGAGTATGTCTCTGGAAAAGTGTGTTTTAAGCACACAGGAAAAATATTGTAAGTAACTTGAACTACAGCAAAAATAGGTAACAACTCCCCTGTGAACACAGTCCTGAGTGTATTTCAACTTGTGCAGCAAAGCTCTCCCCTGTGGCGGGGACAGCAGGAGCATGCAGCAGTGATGGCACTCACCAGCTGAGTGTATCACGATCATGAGGCATTCTGGGGGGCTCGTAGTTTTGTGAGCAGGGAACTGGAGGTGATGCAGAAGCTTCACCCTGGAGCAACCAAAGCAGCTGCCCCCAGCTCCCACTTGCTGTTTAACTTCTCCTTGGGGAGTGTCGCAATTCTAGGCTGAGCAGGGACCCAGCATTTAATGGAGGGGCTGGTGGGACAGTTCATGAGCACCCAGGGTGCTGCTGGGGCTGCTGCTCCCCACTGCCGCTCTCAGTTTGTGCAGTAGTTTTGGGTTCTGCTTCCAGCTCTTCCAGGAGTCTCCTCTAGCATCCTCAGATCTGAGCTACTCCTGGGAAAGGCTGACGCTAGATCAGGGAGGGTGATGCTCACATTGCACAGCTGACAGAGCCACGGTGGTTGCTGCAGCACTTAGCATGGCAGGAGCACACCAGCCTCTCTCTCAAAACAGCGTAGGGCTACTTGAAGATTGTGCAGTGATGGTCTCAACACATTGCAGGATACATTCTTCAGAGACTACTGGTGCTATCGCCACCAGGAGGTGGATGCCACTGTCCAGGTCTGGGGCTGCAGAGAGTGCCTGGGCCCCTCCCTGGGGCTGGGGCAGGTGAGGAACCTCTGCAGAGCTTGTGAGTAAGGATCAGAGGATATACCACCCCAAATGAACTGCAGTAGGTGTCTGTTACAGACCACCTGAACAAAAAGGCAGATGAAGCCTTCTTCAGGCAGCTAGAGAAAGCCTTGGTACTCTTGGATGAGTTTAACCACCCCAATATCTGCCAGAAGAGCAATGCAGCTGGGCACAAGCAATCCAGAAATTATTTCAAATGTATCAAAGACAATTTCTGGATGCAGGGGTTCAAGACCAGTTAGGAGAGATGTTTGAGCTGATAGCCACAAACAAGGAAGAACTGGTGGAAGATGTGAAAGCCAAGGGCAGCTTTGGTTGCAGCAACCATAAGACTATGGATTCTTAGATCCTGAGACAAGTAAGCAAGACAAATAGCTTCAGAAAAGCAGATTTTTGGCTTGTTCAGGTATCTGCTTGGCAAGATCCTGTGTGAAACTGCCCTGCAGGGGAAGGGGACCAGGAGAGCTAGTTGATTTTCATGGATAGCCTCCTTAGCCCAAGGACAGTTCTTTCCAGTGTGCAGAAAGTCAAGCAAGTGTGGCAGAAGGCCAGCACAGATAACTACAGAACTCCTGATTGATTTCAAACTCAAAAAGAAAGTACACAGAAAGTGGGAGCAGGAACAGGCTAGTTGGTGGCAATACAGAGTCATTGCCCACACATATAGGAGTGGAATTAGGAAAGCCAAAGCTTAGCTGGAGTTAAAACTAGCAAGGGAAGAGAAGTGCAAAAATAAAGGTTTCTAGGAGTACATCATCAACAGAAGAAAATCTAATGGCAGTATGGGCCCCTTGGTTAGTGGGGAAGGAGATAATGAACAAAGTATTTTAAAAGCCATTTCTAAACACATGAAGGACCAGGAGGTGATTGGGCATATTCAACACAGATTTAGCTAGGGTAAAGTATGCCCAGTCAACCTCATTGCTCATTGTGGTGCTGTGGACAAGGGGTGGGTAGAGTCACCAAGATGGCGAGGGACTAAAGCGCATGACATCCAAGACGAGGCAGAGACAGCTGGGTCTTTTCAGCATTAAGAAAAGGAGAGAGAACTTACCACTACTGACAACTACGTGATCAGAGGCTACAGAGGGAATGGAGTCAGACTCTCCTCAGAGGATGAGAGGCAACAGGCACAGATTGAAACATGGAAAACTCCAATTAGATATTAGGAAAAAAATTTATGATGAAGGTGGTCAAACACTGAAATAGGTTGCTATGAGTGGTTGTGGCATGTCTGTCCTCAGAGGTGTTCATGGCTTGACTGAACAAGTCCCTGAGCTCTGAGTAGGCGGCTGGACTACATGATTTCCAGAGCTCCCTTGTTATCAGACCCTAAAGAAATTGAATCTATCCTTGTATGCAGTATTTGAATATGATCATTTCTTCATTCAGGCATCCATTCCTAACACTTTTCTTCCCTGACACAAACAGAAAAAGTAAATTAAAATCCATGTGCTTTATGTTATTAAAAAAAAAAAAAAAAAAAAAACTCATTGTCCTGGGTTCAGCTGGGATAGGGTTAATTTTCACAGAAGCTGGGAGGTTGGCATAGTGAAAGGGATATTCAATACCATGCTGACATCATGCCCAGGATATAAGGGAAAGCTAGTCAGGAGAGGGGTGGGGGGGTTTTGGTTCGGTGAGGGTTTTCCATTGTGTGTCATTCTATATCCTGTTCTGTTATTATATTCTCTCTTTCTCGTGTTGTATTATTAAAAACCTGTTGTCACCTCAACTCACAAAGGAAGACAGACTTCCAAATAAGTCTGGATGTATTTAACTCTGAGATCACCAAACCAATGAATAATTTATTGCAAGGAACCTCAGGAGGTCAGGTGGTTCAGTTCCACCCAGAGCTGAGAGACAAGTCGATCAGAGCCTTGTATGATCTTCCCTGCTAGTATTTAGCCAGAGGAGAACAAAACTCACTCAGGATGAGACACATTCTTTGTCTTTTCAAGAATGTGCTATTCATTGTGACAGATACAGTGTAAAATCTCTGATGCCAAATTTACATTTGTTGATTCAATCCAACCACGCCACTAAGAGAGTTAAGGGGCTGGAGCACATGACGTGTGAGGGGAAACTGAAGGAATGGCTTTGGCTGGCTTGGAGGAGAGAGGTTCAAAGCAGGTAGAAGGGTCTAATGGCAGTTTTCCTCTACCTAAGAGGGGGTTACACAGAAGACAGAGCCAACTCTTCTCAGATGTGCACAGCTAAAGGACAAAAGCCAACTGTCACAAGTTGCAATTGAGGAAAGTCCTACTGAACAGTAACAAAAATATTTTTACTGTGACAGCAATAAAATGCTGGAAAAGACTACCCAGAGTCTGTGTAATCTCCATCCTTAGAAATTTTCAGAACTCACCTGGACATTTCTCAGTGCAACCTGAAACAACTTTGCATCTAGCCTTGGTTTTAGTTGAGCACTAGTCTAGCTGCCTTCCTGAGGTCCCTTCTATGATTCTCTGCTTTTTCAGTACCTATAAGCTTTCTTCTTGGTACAGACTATGCCCTCCTTTAGTTCTGCTGATGAGGGACAGCCCTCTGTGTTTTGCTGTAGTAAGGAACAGGCTGGCCTGAGCGGGAATTTTATTTGGTTAATTTTACTTCCTTCTGTTAAGCAGGGAAACGGCAGAGTTTGTAATAACAGGAAAGGGATTTTTTGTAGTTTATTTAATTGTTGCATTGTGTAGCTGTATTTGAATCACACAGGACTGAGAATAAATAAAATTTATATGTATCTTTTATACATTAACAAGCAATGTTGTACAATGTAATTATTTTCAGACACCTTTTTACCTGCTTTGAGTACAAGTAACAACACCAGAGAAATGGAGCTATCTAGACTGGTCAGCCTTCAAACGACTGGTGTGGACACAGTCCCACTTCGGTGGCCCTTCTTCAAATGTCATTTATTTAAACAGACAAGAATTACTTTCTTACCTGGCAGTTAATGCAAACTCCTCCACCTTCATAATGCCCATGGATGTTTAAACTTTCTTGACGCTGATCAACATCAGCATCATAGTAGCAATCACTGGCATGTCCATGGCAATTGCAGGCTGAAAAAAGTAATATTCCACGTCAGCTTTCTTTACGATGCTGGAATTCAGTAAGGTAGCAGAGGTGAAAAAGAAGCTGAGATTTTTTTGATGTATACATATACACAGGTATGTTGGAGTATGCTCAAATGCACATATTTACCTTATCAGCAACTGGATTTTCATACCAGAAACACGGTAAGATAATGTAAACATGAGGAAAACATGTGCTGCTAGGCTTAGCAGAGGAGGCAACAGTTGTAACAGATCAAAACCGTATATTTATGCATAAATCAGAACTAGGAAGCTCCAGAAAAACAGTCCTGCAGTTTTTAAAAAATTATCGAACACATATTCAAATGCTTATTCTATTTTTCCATGTCTAAAAGTACATCTGGGCTGAAGCTGTGTGCATTAAACCTTTGTTTAAAATAAACAACTATAGATAAGATATACACATTTGAATAAAAAGACCTACACCAAAGAATTCTCGTACTCAGCTGTACATACACCAGTATACTTGGCTATACATTTACCTAGCTGCTGCCATCTGAACAAAGAAGTTTCAAGTAGGAGTTCATTCTACTTCCTGGGAATTGTGGATTCAAAAACAAGTATGGCTTAAAGAAGTATGGTATGAAGAACAATAATAACACCAACAATAATAATATATCATTATTATTATATAGAAAAGGATGGAATTAGGTGACTGAGATAACTCATTTCCCTCGTTTATGGTTGTTTATAGTCTCAGCTGTGAGAAATTTTACTTTCAGTGGTTTGTGGTTAGCTCCTTTCCTTTATTTTTCCCTTCTGTTAAGCCAAATACAGGTAACAGCTGAACTCACAGTGGCTCTGAAACCATCTCTACATATGGGTTCTGCTATACTTTTACCTCTTTCTAAGAGATGTCAATATTGAGAAACAACTCTGTAGATCCCAGGGTCAGTGCAGAAGGAGGGCAGGAGGTGCTCCAGGTGCCAGATCAGAGGTTCCCCTGCAGCCCATGGTGCAGCCCATGGCGAGGCAGCTGTGCCCCTGCAGCCATGGGGGTAACGGGGGAGCAGAGATACACCTGCAGCCCAGGGAGGACCCCACACCGGAGCAGGGGGATGCCCAAAGGAGGCTGTGACCCCGTGGGAAGCCCGCACTGCAGCAGGCTCCTGGCAGGACCTGTGGCCCCATGGAGAGAGGAGCCCAGGCTGGAGCAGGTTTGCTGGCAGGACTTGTGACCCCGGGGGGGCACCCCGCTGGAGCAGTCCGGGACTGCGCCCATGGAAGGGACCCACACTGGAGCAGTTTGTGAAGAACTGCAGCCTGTGGGAAGGACTCACGCTGGAAAAGTTCCTGGAGGACTGTCTCCCATGGGAGAGACCCCAGGCTGGAGCAGGGGAAGAGGGTGAGGAGTCCTGCCCCTGAGGAGGAAGGAGCGGCACAGACAACGTGTGATGAACTGACCACAACCCCCATTCCCCATCCGCCTGCACTGCTGGAGGGGAGGAAGTAGAGAAAATGGGGAGTGAAGCTGAGCCCAGGAAGAAGGGAGGGATGGAGGGAAGGTGTTTTAAGATTTGAGTTTTTTTGCTCACTATCCTACTCTGATTCCATTGGTAACAAATTAAATTGATTTTCCCCAAGATGAGTCTGATTTCTCTATGACAGTAATTGCTGACTAATCTCTCCCCGTCCTTATCTTGACCCATGAGCCTTTCGTTATATTTTCTCTCTGCTGTCCAGCTGAGGAGGGGAGAGATAAAGCGGCTTTGGTGGGCACTGGGCATCCAGCCAGGGTCAACCCACCACAGTCCTTTTTGGTGCCCAACATGGCCCAATGGAGCATTTGAGATACATTCATTGATACATCCACTTGTGGCCTTGTACATGCATCAGCTGGCTCGACCGATCTCCTTCCATCAAGGTGGGAGACCTAAATCCCAAAAACCTTTGCTGTTTTACTTTTAGCAACAAGGCCCAGCAATATAAATTCCAGAACCAGCCCAATGTTCGTGTCTTGCTTGCACAGAGAATTAACTTGAAAAATAGCTCCACACTTTTCAAAGTTCCTGCAAATTAAGTTTGAGTAAAGGGTGATGGATTTACCCAGAAAATAATTAAATAAAGCCAACAGAATAAATCAAAGGGCATGATCATGGTTTTGCTATAAACTCATCCTAGTCCTTTTTTTTTTTTTTTTAATGTGATCTGATCTTTCTTCACTGGAGAGGAACAACGGGAATTTCTTTGAAGGAATGCAGGCAGCAAAAAAGGCTTCCCCAAGCATCTGAGTGCTAGGTAAGCTTTTAATTACAGATGTTCCAGCATTTCAGGGAAACCTTCCCAGGAAACTCCATAAGTTTTGACTTTATTAAGCCATGACTTCATTTTTAGAGAAATTCCCCCTTCATCTGGACCAGGGGACAAGATACTTTGTAAGGCAATGTGTACCTGAAAGCACCTCAAACCAGAAGCTAAGGGCCCTGTCCCTACGTTCTTCAAGATGAGGGAAGTGCATGGGAAGTAATCCTTCCAAACTCTGTTCCAAGTACCTGGCACAACTGGGAGCACAACTCAGGGCTCAGAGGCAACTGATTCTCCATGACTTGCTACACCATCATACAGACATAATAATTCTCTGGATCATTCTCTGTATCTTCTCTACATCTTTATATCTGAACAGCTTTGGACAAGACAGCCTTTTCCTAGAAACTACCAACAATACAGCTGAGGTGGTGGCCTACCATCTGGTTCCCTTATGGTCTGCTGACAGGAACCAGGCAAGTCGATACTGGGTTCCCTGGCCAGGTTGTGATAGCCTGTGAAGATCTTTGGGGTTTTATATTCATACAACTCTTCAAGAAAATAAAACATTGCACAAATGAGATGCTGGTTCAAGATACTAAGTCATAAAAGGAAAGAAGAGAACATCTGAAAAAAACCCACTATTTACAATGTAAATAAAAGCTCCTTGCCTCTAGGGCCAAACCGTCTGCAAGCTCCATCTCACAAGTATGTCTTCTAACAGCGATGGGTAATTATCTGTTCTGACTGTAGTTATAGTATTTTCTCTCACAGGGGAATAGAAACCCGTTCTACCTCACCAAGCATTTTCTTACCACTTTGGGTCATTTGCTGACCCATACAGTACTGGGAGACTCATAGCAAAAGGTTGGGCTTCTCCCTACAAACTCCCACCAACCTCTTTCAATCAGTTTCTCTCAAGGAACCTCAGGCTTCTGGGAAGCTTAACGAGGTTGTTTTAATTCCTTCACTACTGGCTGTGAGGAAAAGAGGTCTGCACCTGGCAAACTCTCTCAACAAATCACCTCAAACTGCTAGAAGCAATCCATACTAAAAAGTGTATTTTTTCAAAGGTAGGTAGAAGCAAAATTGTTTTGGCTCAGAATCTTTTAGATTATCTCCTATAAACTCATTCTTTAAAAAACATGACATTATTTATGCTCTTTGTCTATCTCTTTCCCGGCAGAAAATATTTTACTTTTAAAGAGGGGAATTTAAATGAGGTTTCAAATCTTGTCTAAAAATTGTGTCCCAACGTGCCTATCTCCTATCAAACTTTTTAATCACCTTCTTCCCTGCCCCTTCCCCCAACACTCAATCTTAGTACTGCAGTTTTGATTAAACAAGCCATCTCTTTATTCCTCAAATTAATTATATAGGTTCATCTCTTTGGCTTTCAAATATGTTTCCCCTGTTAACAGTTTGCACCCACTGGCTACACTATTCTCAGGAAGGGCAGACGAGGAAAATAAATTAGGCTAGACACAAAGGAAACTGCAGGCTGCCAACACATTTGCTCAAAATAGGATGTGCACAGAGATGGCAACACTGCCTGTACTACACTCATGGGTTTCTGGCCAGAAGGATGCAACACACCCGTGTGTGACAGTACGTAGTGCTCCACCAAGAGAGGGTCCCTGCTGTAATTTTCTTTAACAGAAGAATGAAACACAGGGGAGGTGGTAGAAATGTCAATGGGCTTGACGATTCAGTCTGTAGGACTAAGGCACTCCAAACTCCCAACTACAAGCATGGGAAGGGGTGCAAGTATAGAGTTGCCCAGACTCCCCACCAAGAACGTCTTTGTGTTCTCTGATGCCCAGCCAACGACCAGCAGCAGGAAGACGAAGGGCAACACAAACGCCGTTAAGCAGTGGCAACCTTAAGCAATCTCTCTGCATCCTGAACACCACGGGGCTCCGTGATAGGGAGGCAAATTTTGAAGATGTACAAGATGTCTATAGTCTCTCCTGTGCTAGTGGGGATCCACAATCTGTCAGCAGACAGCTGTGACCGGGGAGAGACAGTGAATCAATGTACGACAAGAAGGCTTCCACATTTCTCATATAATATCCTTTCACGAATGACTATTTTCATTGTTTAATAAGAGAGGAAAACATAAACAATATTCACTGCATCATCTGTTCCTTATTGCTGTATGGAAATAACTTTCTCAGTAAAGAAAAAAGGTGTTAAAACATACAACGTGCTAGTTATGCTCCATGAACACACATGCTACAGCTAATTCCCACCTGTGTGTCAGTGTCCCTTTTAACCTAGCGTCTTCTAGGCTACTCACGTTCGCATGGGTTTGTGCTCCCAGCTGTTGCAGGTTGCCACTGTTTCTGATTATATCCAGGGCAGCAGTGATCACAAGTTTCCCCACAAGTGTTATGTTGACATTCACACTGAAACCTGCAGAAATTAAAACCTCTTAATCTACTGAAGCTGGATTTAAAGTTTTTTTCTTAATTTTATTGTAGTCCAAGACTTCGTTATAGTGTGAAAAAGACAGGACATAAGTTCACATGTAAAGAGGTCAAACAGTAATACTAGAACATTTTGGAACTTTCCTAAAATTCTTCATGATTGATTACTTTAATCGTGTGGTTATGAGTTTAGTAGCACGAATTACTTAGAGAGGACATTTATAATTGGATTCAATAGACTACATTATGAAACTTTATTCTAGAATATTAAATCAACATAAAATATAACAGTTTAGGATGTATCCTATTTTAGCTTCTTTACAAGGCTCAAGATTGTTGATCTACAGTAAATCAAAATATTTACCACCCTTATATGAACACCTTCATAATTTTTTCATTATCTTTGTTTACAACGATTGTATTAGTTTTTTAATAAACCAAGATCATAACTTCATCTTGTTATTTTTAAAATAATGCACACTATTCATCGAGAAAATGCAGTTCATATTTATTTTAATTTAGCTGAACAGCCTACTTAAAGCGCAGATTCTCATTACAGGCTATGCGTTACTATCATGCATAGTAACTGAAGCCCAGGAGGAACAAAGAGACCTTGAGACTGAAAAGGCCTTTTGCAATGTTCCTCTCTTATCTGTGTAGTTTAATAACCAAGGGGCAATACAATTTTCAAGTATAACTAGAATAATATTCTAGTTATAATAGTGTAATAATAGTAATAATAATAAGAATATTCTATTCCCATAGATTTCCCGCCTTCTGTACCTGCTTTTCTCTAGCATAGACAGCTGGAAATGAGGCACCCACCTGCCCACTTACTCTTCCTTAAAACACAATTGAAAATATTGCATTGTCCTGAAAAAAGTTTCTTTCAATACCATTATGGGTAAGAGCAACAGCTCGTTTAAACCAGGCTTTTAAAATACGTTTCAGACAGTCTGATTATTCACAGTCACTTCCCTATAGCAGCTGAGCCAAGGAGCCTGATCTAACTCCTTGTGAAATCAATATGGAGATCATAAACTTCACTGGGAAAGGGAACTTCACCAGGAAAGGGAATAGTTTAGTTTCTGTTTTTATTGTCCTAGTAATGATCAAAAGCCATTGGATCTTGGCTGAGCTCAGTTATAATGCTCAATATCTCCAGGAAGTTCACTTTGGTTTTGTGTTGGCTTGCTAATTCCTGCAGTCGGAAGGTGGTATCAAGCCATGATTTCCAAAAAGAACTAAGGGTTCCTATTAAATTATTCAGTCTATCAAACTCTTATTTCAACTAAAAAGAAAAATCTAAATAAAGACTTTTTATTACTATATTTCACATACAATAGATCTCGAGCTATTTTCTTGTGAATCATTATCAGATTATATTTTTTTAAATATAATGAAAAATCCCTGTAAGTCTATATCATTCTGTAATAAAAAAGGACATTTGAAAACATTAATATGTTTGGTTTTTTGTATTAAATTAACGTTCTGCTCAGTTTACTTACTGGTGTTGGTTTTCAGCAATCTTTGCATTACATACTTCAGCATGGCCATGGCAAACACATCGACCACCAATACTGATGTCCTTTATACTGTAGTAATACTATGGAAGAAGCACAAGAAGTACATACAGAACTTTTCTTACCTGTATTATGGCAGAACTATCAACACTGGATTGTTCAATGTTGCTTATCAGAGCTTTAAAGGCATGACTTTACGAAAGACCAAAGTTGGGCAGACAGTGCTCAAACCTCTGTTGATGTCTATGTCTCAGGGTGAGTATCAGCAAATCAAAATCAATACCCATGGGTTGCCTGATAGCAACAGGTTTGTGCAGCTCACACCAAATGCATATTGCTGTAGCTCTCCATTCCCCAGCAGCTACACGGCCACCAGTACCTAAGCCCAAAGCTTGTTCACAGCAAACTTGAGAATGGAGATGTAAAGTACTGTCAAAGCATCAATTTGTGAGACCTTGGTCTGGTCAACAAACCAGACACACTGGCATGGGCAGTGCAGTTTCCCCATTCAGTCCAACAAGATCACTAAATATTAGAAACAGAATGAAATCACCAGCTTGGACAAAAGCACTCATGACTCAAGCTGGATCTGAAATCATGACCTGAAATTCAAACACTTTGTATCTCATCCTCATGCTTTGCAGGCATCCAACCAACAGGAGATAAAAATTTAATTGGTTCACCTCAGTGAAAATATCATTACTGTATACATATAGAATCATAGAACCATAGAATGGTTAGGGCTGAAAAGGACCTTAGAGACCACCACTTCTCAGAATGTATGCAGAAGTTACTACTGATACTGATTTAGGCCAGGCTGGATGAGCCTTTGAGCAGCCTGGTCTAGCGGGACGCGTCTCTGCCCATGGCAGGGGGGTTGGAACTAGGTGGTCTCTAAGGTTCCTCCAACCCAAACCATTCTATGATTCTATGATTTTTGTAGGTCAGAAGTTGTTTCCTTGTCTCCTTGGAGCACCAGGCAGAACAGAGAGCTGGTTGTAAATCTTGGTCTCTATGTACCCCCAGAAAAAGCTAAAGGGGCAGATTTAATGCCACTGGAAGATGAAGAGAAAAACGATCAGAATGTTATGCAGATATGTTTCCTGTGCTCACTCTATTCACAATACTGCCCCTCTAAGTGGTGTATATAGCATCACCTCAGCATCGGTAAGGCCAATGATGCTTCCCCTCAACACTGGTGAGGCCACACCTGGAGTGCTGGGTCCAGTTCTGGGCTGCACAGTACAAGGGAGACATGGACATACTGCAGAGAGTCCAACGAAGGGCCAAGAAGATGAGGAAGGGACTGGAGCATCTCTGCTATGAGGAAAGGCTGAGAGCTGGGACTGCTCAGCCTGGGGAAGAAAAGGCTCAGGGGAAATCTTGTCAATGTATGTAAATACCTCAAGGGAGAGCGCAAATAGGACAGAGCCAGGCTCTTGTCAATGTGCCCAGTGACAGAACCTGTGGCAATGGGCACAATCTGAAACACACCAGGTTCCCTCTGAACATAAGGAAACATTTTTTCACTGTGAGGGTGACCAAGCACAGGTTGCCCAGAGAGGCTGTGGAGTCTGCATCCTTGCGGATAATCAAAAACCATCTGGAAACGGGACTGGCCAACCAGCTCTAGGTGGCCCTGCTTGAGCAGGAGGGTTGGACCAGATGACCTCCAGAGGTCCCTTCAACCTCATCCATTCAGTGACTCTGTGATTCACTTTGGTTGCATATACACTCTCTGCTTTTATATAGGTGGATTTAGCTGGCACAGACAATATGCTTTCCCAAGGCAGCAAGCTTTTCCAATGAGCTCTCTTTGCTCTAGGCAGGTAAGGACTAGTAGGCGGCATATACAGACTAGGAAATATTTTTTTCCTTCTGAACTATCTCTATTCAAATATACACATTCATTTCTAAATGTGCATACCATTTTCATACTGTAAGTAAAACTTTTAAGTAAAAACTTCCAAGTAAAACTTTCAGTGCTTTCAACACAGCTACAAATTATCACTATGACTCTCAACAACATACATGACAATGGTTTTTGGTATCAGAGTTTTCACAACCCAGCCTATAGTTTCATACAGCCTTGCAGAGTACCAACAGTAATTGTACTGTCACTGGTCAGTAATAAGTCAAATTAGTAATAGACCAAAACAATTAATAGGCCAAACTGCCACACTTCAGACATAAAATATACTCTATATAACTCAAAGTGTCATGAACTCAAACCATTAACAGGGGAAGCCAGGCAGCTACTTGAGTAGGAGAACAGAATTGGCCTGGTTTTCTTCTGTTTCTGTAATAACTTTAACACAAAGATTTTCCTTAAGAATATTAACTTTTTCCTAGACTTGGAAGGTCTCTACAATGAAAATTCGTGCTCTCTTTTAAGAATTCAATAGAACACTCACTCTTTTATTCATCTATTCCACTCCCATGGCTATGATAACATCCAGAGTTTCTTATACTAAAGCTGTGCTGCTTGCCCAGTAAGCTAAATACTGCATTTACATCTGCCTGTCAGTAACATCTTAAAATTTACTTAAGACAATAAAGGTACTTAATGAGAATGCTATCAAGTAACTGGAATACTTTTGTTTTTTGATGCAGAAACTCTCACACACATTTGTGCAGTGCCTCACCCCAGAGTTTCCTCCAATTGTTACTGAATCTTCATTTTAAATGAAAAGGTTAAGAATAACAATATAATATGAAGACTGCAATCTCTCCAAGTATATGAATTTCCGTGCAGTGTTCCCTTGAGGGAGCTGAATTTCCTTACATTTCCCCACTGAATGGGAGTGGGACTTTGGCTTCCAAGCTCTTGGATAGCCCAAAATCCACTGAAAATACCTAGACATTTCAAATGATTTATGGAAAGATAGTAACTTTTGAGTATGCCCTTTGATTCCTGCTCCTTCAGAAACTCAGGTACTGTTTCCTGAAAATCTTTTTTTGAATAGATAAGGGAAAGTTGCATCAAATAAAGCTGAAGAGATTTAGTCCCTTAGCCCTGTGTAAGATAGTTTAGAAGATTTCTGCTTTGGCTCCTTATAGCTCCTGTGATGCACCCAACTTCCTTCCGTATTCGAAAACAGGGAAAGAAGACAGTCTGTTACAAAACCATTAATCATTACTTCCCCTCCACAATCTGTGCTGACCCAGTTACCTTCTTGTCTCAAACCAACCTGTAAAAAATATGGGGATTTAAAGGTGGGTTACTGTAAAATTCAATTGTTAAAACATTCAAATTATTTTTTTAGTCTCTAACACGCTGGATATGATTGTTGAGTATATGTCAGTGAAAAAAGTACTTACTCTACGGGTTACAGTGGGGTCTCGTTGAGCTTTTGATATCAAGTGTCCAAGAAGCGTATTAGTTCTGAGAAAATGAAGGCGGATGTTTGTTGCTTTTGTGAATTCTTGAATACTGGGGGAATATGTGAAGTTTTTTGCTCCTGGGCGGCCATTTACCAGAGATACTACAATCTAACAAAGAAGTAAGCACATTTTTGTTAAAACATATCAACTGTGTCAGTAGTGGCACAGAGCAAAATTAATAAAATAATCCAAAAACTTACTTTCTGAGCATATTTGCAGTAACAACTACATATTTCTTACTGAAGACAGGGTATTGGGAAAAATAGTGTTGCTAGTCTTGGACACTCCTGAATTCTCATTACCCATATGGCACATTAAAAAAAAAAAGTGCGTCTATCTGTTTTGAAAACAGTGGGTACAACACACAAAAAGTACACACTTTAATAGGAAAAAACAATAGGAATAGTTCCAAATAGTAACATTAACTGTTGATAGTGTCAATGGGAGTTTTGCCGGAGTGAAAACGATCAGGTTTTGGCACTTTCCCAAACCACATTTATTTTTGGGTTAAGGCACAAACTTTCCTGGAAAACATTATTGTTAACAGGTCCAGTGCCTGGGAGCATATTAATGGTCTTTTGGAAGAAAGTACACAGTGTTGCTTTAGAAAATCCCCTCACATGAAAGCAGGTTTAGCTGACTTTCAAAACAAGGGCTCCAAAACTTTTTTATTTTTTAAAGAAACAGATGCCAGGAGCCTAGCAATCATGAATCTCTATTAAATTAACAACCCAGTGTGCACGTACACAGCTGAGTAAGAGAATTTCATCTATTTCTAACCAACCAGATAATAGATTTCTATTTTCCAATGGTTCCTATACTCCAAAGCATATAACAAGGGAATGGTGACAGTTCTGACTGCAGCACAATTACTTTAGGAAAAGTCATACAGCACATAATAGGGGGATGGCACCACCAGTGTTCTTCTATGTAAATTACTCTTTACAATATTTTATTAGGAAAATTTTACAGATATGTTAATAAACAAATTCTGCTTTAATATGAAACTATAACCCCAGATCCATATGCTCAAAACTCTGGATAGCTCCAGAGAAGTTCAGATCTGGATTCTAACCACATCAGGCATAGAGGACGAATGTCAGCAGGAGCCATCAGTGCAGCCAGGAGAGCAACGCTTTTCCAAACACGTGTATTATATTATAAACACGTAGCATTTTATACATTTTTCTTAAATAGTTACTTATTCTGGAATGGTAAATATCTGTTTCTACAGCCTTTAGTCCCATGAGCAATTCTGATGCCAGAAGTTCCGCTACGTACATTGGAAGTATTCAGAAAATGCGGTCAACAACTTCAAATGCATATGGCTAAAGTGAGGTACCTACATCACGATAAAAATCATAAGAGGTGGCTCTGAGCAGCCCATACCCCCATGGAGAATGGTGAAAGATAGGAGGAGCCAGGTCATGCTCCAAAAATCTAGACAACTACTTGAGTGCTTGGTTATGGACTTACTAACGTAGATTCAAGCAGTCATAGCAGAAAAACTACTTCATGTTCTAGGTTTTTACTGAAACAGCAAACTTCTGAAACAGATGTTGTTTGTTTCTAGTGTTACACATTACTTTTCTAAAAGCACTTACCTCTCCATTTTCAAGAGGCAGAATGCGAGAGTACTCTGTGGTGCAAAGGACATCGTTGTCCCTCCTCACCGGAAGATTAGCTTCCTTTCCAAAGCGCTCCAAGCAATCTGCTTTAGAGTCTGGCCAAGTGAGAACGAAATTATTTTTATGTATGAACATAAACACTATTGTTCTAATTTAAATTAACAAAGAAATATGTCCTGCACTTTCAGGTAAGTTCTCCCTCACAACTGAATAACAGTGATTGCTTTGCTCAGCATAAAAAAATGGAAATTCCCAAAAACAAATCGTTTCTGGTCCTAAGCAGTTCAGTGGTGCCTGACAAGACATGGCACAATATTTCTCATATAATCACAAAAAAAGCTATATATATATACTCCAATACCTTGCGTTTGTATTTCATCTTGGTTTTTGCAAGGAACTCCAGGGTTGCATGGGATGAAGGACACTGTAGTTCTGACATACCAAAAAGCAAGACAAACAAAACAAATCAAAAATTCCCAACAGACTGAAAAATATTGATGGGCTGAGTGACATTTTCAAAATATCATGCTCATTTTCAGTTACATTCTTGTCACTAATTTATTGGGGATAACTAAGACAAGAGAAGTGCATTTGACATGCACTGTCTTCTCTGCAACTGAAATCTTCAGTGAGCCCCATGGTCTGATTTTCCTGCTACTGGGCAAATGATTAAAGAAACCTGTCTACAAAAGCATAGTGACACAAGGATTGATACTCACGAGCAAAATATTGCCAGGGAGTGTAAGTCCTTCCAAAGTCCACTGATCTTTCTAAGATCCAGAGATCTGGACGAGGAGAATTTGCAAACTTGATAAGGATATAGGCAACATGGAAGAGCTGGTAACAGAATATACATAGATCTTATCAGGAGCCTTTTGAACTCTAGCAAAGTACCGCAATACTAGAACTAATGCCAATAAACACCTTTTCTTCAGTGCGCAGTAAGGCCACCCTCTGCAGATTCATTCCCATTAAAACAATAGGTCAGATTCTCAGCTGGCTACCTCACCTAGCAATGTGCTGCAATGCACTGAGAGCTGCAATAGGACCAAGTTAAATGCCATCTCCAACATTTCAGAACAGCTCTGCTTTGCACTTGACTGGTTGCTTGGGTGCATTAAGGGTATAGTACTTAGCCTTGAAGAGTTAGCATCTCAGCACATCACTGAACTAAGATACTTTTGCAGCATCCTGGCACATCCGTGACATTCCAGTCATGCAATTGTGCTTGTAATCAAAGAAAATCACAAAGATGTAAGAGAAAATCCACACACCTTTTACCCTGGGACTCCTTTGGCTGCATTTGATGGTAATCTAAGCCACTTGTTCCTCACTTAAAGAATATTTCTAGATAATTTTGCCACTTAACAGACTCTCTAAGTAACAGAATAAAGCCTCCCCAGAGTTTTGTGAGTATCAAGTAACACAGGAGAGATTCTTATGACTGGTAGCTCATTCAATGTGTGAAACAGCTCGAAGAGCTTCACCAGTTCAAGGTTCCCAAGGCCAAGAGTCCCTTCTGGCTTCTGCAGGTGTTCATGGTGTGTCACAGTGACAGACCACAGACACAGAAAGCTCCCAAACACTAAAGCAGAAATGCATTCGACAAGAAATCTTACCGTAAGCCTCTTGGGGTAGTCCACAGTTATGAAAATCTGCACATCATTAAAATTGCCTCTAGACAAAAGGCTGAACACAGGTTGATTCTAAGGGTTGTTTAGAATTTAAACAACCACAACATGGACACAAGTTGTCTATAAAAGTGATCCAATACTGAGGAACAGTCTATATTCAAGTGAAGCTGCACTGGGATTTCCCACTCAACAACACAAATTCAGAATCATCTGCTTGCACAAGATTCTTTGGTGGAGGAAGGAGGCAGAGAGGTACCAGTCAATGGTCTGTCAAGTAACTGCTGCCAGAGCCCTCATATCAAATATATCCATGCAGTTTATCTTTGCTGAAATACCACAAATGTCATAACCTTGAAACTAATACTTTGCACAAGTTATTAGATACCAAACCACAAATGTGTACGAGCTCCCACTCACAAAGTGGGAACAGCATCTGTTGCCATGCCTGGGACCAACGCAATAGCTGTCTTGCCAGCTGGGGCTACCAGGAGACAGATGGAAATGGCGAACAACACAGCAGAGCAGATACCTGGAAATATTTGTCCCCAACCAGTACTGCACATGCCGATCCCACGGCTACAGGCGCACTGCAGTCATATGGCTACATGCAGCCTCAATCTTCACCCATCTATTTTGAGACATCAGCTTCTGAATATCAAAAGTATTCACATAAGAAAGCAAAACCTTCTCACTGAGAAATATGAGGAATTCAAGGACTTCATGGAGCATGCTCTCATGATAATACCTCACATCCCAGCAGAAGAAACTGAAGCTTTTTCCTTGTGCATTCATTTAATGCAGTATTTACAACAACTACCCAGGGCAACCACCTGTTCTACACACACCAAGGCATCATACCTTGAAAACTGTTGATTTGCTGAATGTTGCTGACCTCAGCAGAGATACAACTGAGGAAAAAACACCCTTTCCTGTTAGTGTTAGAATTTACCTTGCCTACTTAACAAAGCCTGCCAAGCACTAACTTCACCTCCTATGACACTAAATTAGCCACCTAAATAGCCAGACAGTATCTACATATGGAAAATTATTTACTAGACAAAAGTATCGAGCAAGGTAAGTGGCAGCCATTCTGTTGACAGAACCATGACAGAATTCAGAACTATGCACAGTGACTGCACAGGTGGAGTAACACCCTTAACTTAGCGATGGAAAGTCTCTACGCTGATTGTCAGAAATAGGTGAATACTCTGGGCACTGTGGCAAGACTTGCTCTTACTGCTCTTTGCCTAAGTAACTTCTGCTACTTGACTAGCAGGTTTCAGAGTAGGGATAGTGGCCATATGGACATTACAACTCATCCAGTATGGCCATTCAGTGCAAAGACTGGTATCCACCCAGAAAAGCATAATAGTTCTGAAATTCCTAAAAAAAAAAAAAAAAAAAAAAAAACAGCTGCATGTTCTTGCTTTTGGCCAGCTGAATCTCTCAAGGGGCACTGCCCTGTTCCAACCAGATTTGCACTGGGCAGGCAACTGTCTATCAATTAACATTCTCGCTTCCCCTATGTTTTAAGGTCTTTGGGATTCCTATCCCTACATGCATATTAACAAGGGTGGATAACACTCTTTGTGTTGATCGATACAGATTTAATCAAGAAAAAATGGTTTAGAAAGCACAAGAGGAAACAAAAGAAGCACACAGAAAAGGCCCTGCCTTCTCCAGGACCCCAATGCTTGTAGTCACATTGTGGAACCATTAGAACAATGACCTTCTACCTACTCTCCAAAAAAGCAGGTGACATCTGCTTCAGCTTGTCATACAGTTATTATACTCTTTTACTCAGATGCTACTCAAAGTGCTGACACAGCCAGTCTCATCTTGTCTCTCCTGACAGGTGACAACTTTTCATAAGTGTGAGAAAATAGCAGGCATGAATTCCATTTCCACAGTGCATCCACACTGCTGAAGAAATATGAGACAAGCTCACTTATACATCAGTGTCACCCTGGACTATAGCCTTTCATAAGTATCTACAGGATAAAGTGGACAAAATGAAGGCACACAATAGTAAAGCAGCTGAATCAGCATGTGGCACCCATCAAACACCTACATGCCACATCTGATATGGGGCTGTGGAATTCGCTCAAGCCCATGTCTACTCAAGGTGTGTGAAGCTGAAGTAGTGTCCAATACATGTACTGTATCAGGAACCCCACAGCACCCTCTTTCTGTCAGTGCTTAAAGAACTGTCTCCCAGCACCACACTTTGCATACTTCCATGCAAACCATAAAATGGAAGAAAAAATATATGGCAACTTCAAACTACTGTTGCATATGAAAACCTTCAATTCACATGCAGCTCTCCTTACATCTCATAGTTTGAAATACTCCTTAGGTTTGTACAGTCACATTCAGAAAGGGGAAAGGGATAGGTCTTGATAAAAATTAAACTGAGATTGAGTACACCCTCAGCAAGTTTGCCAACAGCACCAGGCTGTGTGCTGCAGTCGACATGCTGGAGGGGAGGGATGCCATCCAGAGGGACCTGGACAGACTTAAGAGGTGGGACCATGCCAACCCCATCAAGTTCAACAAGGCCAAATGCAAGGTCCTGCACATGGGTTGAGGCAACCCCAAGCACAAATACAGGCTGGGAAGAGAATGGATTGAGAGCAGCCCTGAAGAGAAGGACTTGGGGGTGTTGGTTGATGAGAAGCTCAACATGAGCCGGTAGTGTGCTCTCATGGCCCCAAAAAGCCAGTCCTGAGCTGCATCAAAAGAAGTGTGACCAGCAGGTCAACGGAGGTGATTCTCCCCCTCTACTCTGCTCTCATGAGACCCCACCTGGAGTACTGCTTCCAGCTCTGGGGCCCCCAACACAAAAAATACCTGGACCTGTTGGAATGAGTTCAGAGGAGGGCCACAAAGATGATCAAAGGGCTGGAACACCTCCCTTATGAGGACAGGTTGAGAGAGTTGGGCTTGTTTGGCCTGGAGAAGAGAAGGCTCCAGGGAGCACTGTACCTGTTGTATTCATCTCATTTTTTCATTTAACTAGCCACTGATGCTAAAAAGTGACACTTTCATTTAGTTATGTAAATCAGCACCTGTGAATATGCCTCACCGACACGGCTGGAGGTGGTAAGTCTTTTCTCTGTGACAGTCAATGAGCAGGACCAGACGAGAGAAGCTCGCCATGCTTCACAGGCAGTATTCTGGAATGAAGGAACACCTCCCAAAAAGAAGGAACACTTCTCAACATTAAAGGGTAATCCATTGTCCAGGTTACATCAGTCCTTGCTCTTTTTGCCAAGACTGCAGGGAAATACATCAATGATTGACAGTTATTATCCTGAAATTTCTCATACAGCCACTTTTCCACTGGGATTTGGATAAAGACCAACTCACTGCTCATAATTATTTCTTACATATGGCCTATTTCTTCACAGAACACTGCAGCTATTCATATGGGAAAGGGTTTGTATGATGCAGGCCCCAGTTGTCCAGGAGAGAAACATCTCCCTATGAGGGCTGGAGTCTAAAGTAAAAAGAGCACAGTAGTACTGTCAGCGCTGGAAGGGAACATGGGGAAGTGTGAAAGGTTGGAGGCTATCAGCAGAGGTTCTGCTTTTACTATTTTGAGTTGAAAATGAGGTATTTAGGACAATATATCACAAAATGAAAGTAATGCGTAGGAATGGGCATAGGAAGGGAGGTGAGAGAAGCACAAGTACAGACATCAAGGTGAGACCAATGAGTGGGAACAAAGACCTTCCTGAAGGGATGCTAAAGAAGGAACTGGAAGAAGACAGTGTCAGGAAAGATAAGGAGAGAAAGACTTGAAAGTTTTTTTCTGTACATTTTGAGAATAATACCAAATTAATACCAAAACCACATGTTAAAGCCAATGACATAGATCTATTAATGCAAATGTAAGAAAAAAAAATACTGAGCCATTCAAAAGATCTCTAACTAAAACTTTAAGAAAATACAACACATTGACTGCATTTTAACGTATAATATATGAGCAAGAAAGGATGTAGAGTATGTCCCTGATTAGGGCTGACAGCTCTGCTCAGAATGAGCTGCTTGTAGTGTGACTGAGGAATAAATGGAACGTGTGTTACCTGACAAAACTTTCAGAAACTTCTATCAGACAGCTGTTAATTCATGAGCTGAAGCTGTGTTGATCTAGAATTCACAAGTAGATTCACCTTACTGGGGTACGAGCCAAAAATCAACTGACTGCAAAGCGTAGTGTTTTGTGGCATGATCCAAAGGCAGCACACTGCACAAACTGGAATACTCAGAACCAGAGTTCTCTAATATGAAGTGACATTATATTCTCTGTAATGTTAGCATCCCCATTTTTTAATATTGCAGGAATAAGATTTTTCCTTCCCCAGGCCCAAGAGCCCCTTTTCTTCCCATTGTGAGCCACAAAAGCAGAGCAGGGGTCAGTGCTGCTGCAGAGGCAGAGCTGTGCAGGGGTTCCAGAAGAAAGGCTTTGTCTTGCTGCCAGGGCAATTCTGTAGGACTGCAGAAGCTTTATGCAACGGTTCTCGTGCCCCAGTTTGTAGGACTTCTCTGTGTTATTACAGAGGTTACGCAATTCCACGCTAAAGCTGGGTCTAATTTCAGGGTCGGCAGTAATATAAAGTCCTCAATAGTCAAGCACAATAAATGCAAGGGCTATTTTTGGAAGGCCAGTTCAATGCAGCTCATGATAAATCTCCCACCACCTTGGAGGTTTCTCCCTACAGAAGAAGGGCCTAAAGAACACTTGATATTTCACAGAATGATAGTTAAATTAAGTGTAACTTAAGTCCCATCTTAAGAAATTATGTCACTTTTTTTGTAAATGAAGAACAATTGTTTCTAATAACAACAACGAGCAAGAGCTGATTAATATTCCCAGCAACAAATATTGTTTGTAAAGCTATGCCCATAAAGGATTGCTATCAAACATAAAAATTAAACCCGTAAGAAATACCTACCATATAAAGTAACTCAGAAGATTTGCCAAACTGCGAGGCTTTTTAACAAAATGTTTACATGCTTTAACTGGCAGACAACATAAAAGCATAAAGTCCTCCACAGGCCGTACCACTTATCTTAAATTTATGGCTGAGTTTCCCTTCCTCCCTAATAAAAGTACTAATTTGGACATTACATTCCACTGTGCGCCTTTAATTTACAACAGCAACTAATAGCATCGCTACATAAAAACTATTCAATATATCAGTGCACAAGACTTCAGTGAGCCTGAGTCTTTCAGCACTATATTATTGCCACAAAAGCATAGTAAGATAACTCACTGGGCTTGCTTCAAGAAACAGATTTTTTCCACAAAAAAAAAAAAAAAAAAAAAAAAAAAAAAAAAAAAGACATGTAACCAAAAGCAACAATAAAATTTGTGGACTATGCTTTTTGAAGTGTAGCAGTTAGACGTTTCTTTTTCATCATACACCATCATGCTATCCTGAACCTTCACCTTCTTCTGAAGATAGAGTTCAGAAAAATACCCGGGGGAGTGTTACTGTAATAGTTGGTGAGCATTAAGCAAGCCAAAGACGAGGGCACACCTGCTCAAACTAGACAATCCAAAGAGTCAAGGGAAGGGCAATGAACTTCAGTCAGACACTCTGGATTCAGAAGTTTAAAATATGTTGAAAACTACATTGAGAAAATCAGGAACAATTAAAGGAATAAACAAGACATGATTTGATCCAAATATTTTAAACAAGTCAGGAACAGCCACAGTATAAGCAGGTATGTTAACAGGATGGAGAGACCGCCCCAGGGATCAACATTATAATTATTATTCAGAAGGACTGTGATTGATTATAAATGTAACTATAGTACAGAAAGTCAGAAGGGAAGTAAAGCAGGGCTTTTGCTTTAAGGTTTTTGCTTTTCCTCATATTACAAAGTACAGCAAAATACACATTTTTCTAGCAGAAAGATTTAACATCCTGAAGAGATTTTTACTTTCAGTCACCCCTAGCTCTTGTGAAACAGAAGCAGCAGCGGGTTGGTGTTCTGTTCCAACTCCATGGTAGTGAGTGCTCAAACTTCCACCACAGTGCAATTATTCAATTAAATATTGTCGTCAGATCATGGCAAAAGGCTCCACTGGGACTCTGCTCTCAGTCTTAAAGATATAATGGCAGGAACACAGTAAATGAAAAGCTTTTGACATTGCAGTAAGTTGTGCTTCCTCTAATTGTGAATATTTGATGATCAACTTACAACTGAGTTACTGCTTCCCTGCACGTATATGTACCTTACTCTTTGTCATGTTTTGCACATGCAAAAACATTTCCATATTTTGTTTGCAGAAAAAGGTGCCTTGTGTCAAAATAAAGAACAGGACAACTACTCAATGAGGAAAACTACATTCCTGCTATCTTTTCAATATTACACCCTGTGGTTCTGCAAGGCATTTAGGCATACATCTGACTTTAAGAACATTTTTTTTTCCTTAAAAACCAAAACCTACAACAAACTACACCACCTTAATTTCAACACACTTGAAGGGGAATTGCACTCCGAAAATTTCTGTCTCTGTCAACTACCAAGAAAGTCTGCATGACTAACACACTAAGCTCTCAATTCTTAGGACCCTGAAATAAAGTAAGGCGAATTGGGGTCTCAGTGCTTACCTGTTCACCTGAGTAGACTTACACTGTCACAGTATTTAATTTTCTTCTTCATTATTAGTATTGTGCACTACTGTATGAATTTGGGGTGTGAGAATGCTAGGCAAAATGTCAAAAGTGAATCTTGAGTTCAAACAAATCCTGGGATTAAGGTTTAATGGATTGAATGCAGATATGAGATAATGTCCGTGGAGGGGGAAAAAAAATGAAAAAAAAAAAAAAATCACATGACTCCTACTAAACCCTCATCCATCCACCAACTAAAATGATCACAAGACCTGAAGTCATTTTGACCTTTGTCTTGGGTTTCCCTCATTTCCAAGTAAGGGAGTTCAGAGTCACCTTTATAAGTGGTACCAGAGTAAAGAAAATACACAGCCTCCCGCTGAGAAATCCTTTAATAACTACAAGAATTTCAGCAAATAGTGGTTGGTCTCCAAGGAGTCCCATGAGAAGAGGACTCTCAGTTCATATCCTTCCTCTGAAGGAAGGAGGTTTATCAGAAGTTATCACACAGAAGACAAGGTGTCTGTCAGCAGGTCTTCCCAAGAAGCTAAGAAGTACACAGTGGGAACAGAAGTTTTGGATGGAGCAATGTGCTACAACTGCTGGTCACAAATATGCTGGACTACACTGCAAGCCTAAGGAGAGCCTGCAACCTAATCTTGCATCTTGCAGAGACCACGATGAATGCAAGCAGCTCAGAAGCTAAGGTCTGCTTTACTGGGAGGTGATTGCCTTCCCATGTCTAATCATAGCACCCTGCTCTGCATTCAGTGACCCTACTCTGTATGCCCAGCCTGACAGACACGCTCCCTTACAGTTTGCTGGGAAAGAATGACTGAGAAACTCACTCCAACAGAGCAGAAAGCACCAGGGGATGTGACACTCCTCAACTGTACAGTGGGACAGAAAGAACTACACAACTCAGAGACAGGTCCAACCACTCTGTGCTAGCCTAATGTGGCCTAAAAATTCATCAGTTTCTACATAGCCCTCCCTTCTTTCTTGGGACAGTGGAGAAAAGCAACCAAGACAACTGGCATGCTATTAATTTAATTAATAGAAATGTAAATTCAAAAATCACAGCAGCTTAGTTTAACTACTTATATTCTCTGTCTTGAGCTGTCTGACCTTTCTGCACTGCTGCTATACTGGAGCCAAAAACACTGAATGAAGGTATCCTCAAAATGAGAGCTGTTCCACTCATGTGAGGCACAGGAGCATTAAAACCCCATCTAACAGAAGTAGTAAAATAATTTGCACATGAATCCCCAACAAAACAGCAGCTAAGTCTCACAGAGAAATATTTTTCCTTAGTTATTCCTCCCTTTGCTGTCAATTAAATTGAACGTCTATTCAAAAAATTCTGTCTCATATAATCAGCCAATAATATATATATGCATATGTACACAGATATTTTGCAGCCCCCAACATATATTTATAGTCCTATATTTTCAGCTGGTGTGAACTTCTAGAGCGTAACTAATTTCACTGGATCAGCGCCCAATTATGGCAGCTGAGAATCCGTCCCTATGGCTTAAAATACAGATACAGAGGCTTTACTGTCAGCTACTTGCCTGCCGCCTGCAGAGGAAATACAGGTGTTCATGTTACTGTCATATTACTGATTCGTATTACACTGGTTTTTCTGTCCCTTCCCTTTTAGATCATGTCATCAGTATTTTTCTGCCTATCTTGAATATCTGTCTGGATGATAGAGAAACCAGAAAGACCCGAGGCAAAAGCAGACAACAACCACTACTTTCAAATTGTGTGCATTGCAAGAGATATGAAATCTCTCTGTGCCCATGGAAAAGAAGAACTTGAAATGGAAGGGAGAGCCCCAGTTTAAACTGAGCAGTCCCTCCCATAACCTCAGGTTAATGACTTAGTGTCTGCACAAGAAAGCACACGGCCATTATATCTGTGTGATGCCAGTGGCAAGACCTCACATCATCAAAAGTCCTGAAGGAAAATAACCACTTTAATAAAGTCAACTCAGTAAAAAAACACACAACACAAACCAGACTAAAAAGCTGTGGTGTTGGAAGCTAAAACCATCAGTTCAAACACCTCTCTCAATTGCAAAGCCTGTATATAAATGCAAGAAATTATGAAACCTCACCCAGTAGCTCATGCACTTACCTGTCCCAGATCTAAAGTGACATTGACTTCATTGTACTTCAAGCCCATAGAAAGAGGAGGACTTTGCCACCAGCGCTCCGTGCCATCAATTGCATTGGTTATCGGGTGAGCTTTACTGGGATCAGCAGCATTGCAATAATCACAAAACTGTCCCTGAAACAGAATAAATTAAAAAGACGGTCTCAGCTGAAATGTTATGCACTCCAGACACATGCTGCTGTTAACTGAGATTCTGAACTAGAGCACTGACTAAAAACAGCGTTAAATTTTGTTTCTCTCCTTCTACAATTTAGTTGTTAATGTATAGATTATTCCCCTGGCAATTAAATTACACACTGAAAATTATACCCTGAAACACAGTAAATTTTATGTTACAAACTAAAATTTCAGAAATGTCTTTAAGGAAACTACAGTAAGTCTTCCTTTACTAATACATTTATTGATACTTTGGTGAAATTACCTATATTACATGTGCAGGGGTGTCTGCAGGAAATTAATGAAACAAAGATTCTTAAAACTGAATTAAGACCAACACACAAATTATCCTCAATTCTCCTAAAAGACTGCAAAATATCCACATATGTACACAACCCAGTATTAATAAAACCATTAAAAAATACTCTGTTACTTGTCTATAAGTTTAGTGTTACAATTTTATAATACTGCTTTCATTTTTTCATGCCATTATAAAACATTTTGAATCAGAGACTTCTGAACAATATGTACTCGTGGAAAATGCAGTGGATCCTACAGACTGTTCCCTTTCAACTTAAAGAATCCCATTGTATCTTCATTTGCAGAAGTTACCACCCAGTTTCTAGTCAACAACTGAAGTCACACTCTGGAGATGCCCTAATAATCTCCCTTTGTGACAGTCTCTAAAGCTCTTTGTACTCTTCTGTACAAAAATAATAAATTAAATAAACTTCAGGAAACTTAACTGTCTCTTAGTTTGGCATTTTGGCTTGCCCCACAAGCAGTATTTTCAACTAACTGCATCTTACAGTCTACTGACATCAGTGCTGAAGCATAGTAATTAGTTATTAAGGGATCTTTTTAGCGTCCCATTCACTTCTTACTCCAGTCACTGGGTGGAGATAATCAGTGAGAATGCTAAACTGTGCCAGGCACAGACCTTTGTAGAACCCCAACAGAAAAATGACATTTTCATTAAATGTCAGTACCCTCTTACTAGTTACTTCAGTCAGATAGTTGCTTAATCCATTCAGCCTGTGAGGTCCAGACACTGTGTTGGACCCATGTTTTAAATAAGGTAATATTTGCAGCATTCGCTTCATCAGCTGAGCATATTTTCGTCAAAAAGATGTGAAAAACCTTTAGCTGTTTCCACAACCCATGTTGCCTGGCATGAAGTATATTCCTACCTTTTAAGTATTAACAGAAACCCCTATAACTGCCATTATTTTGTTTGTCGCTGCGGTCAGACTAGCCAGCATAAAATAACCGGAGCAATCATACTTGTCCACTTTTAATAGAGGAACAACATTAGGGCTCTCACATTCTTGCTGGGTACAGTCTTGCAAGCTTCGTGAATTTAAGATGTTTATCTCTACCAGAATTCGTTTAACATCTGACTTAGCTACTAGTGGATTGGAAACTACGTCATCATTCTCATGTGATACAAATACACCATCCTGTATCTTTCAAATGCAAAACATAGATGTTCACTGAATATTTCTGCATAAGTAGTAATAATTTCAGCATCTGCATCTATAAATGGTTCCATCCTCACCCTGCTCTTCCAGAAAGTGTTGTTCTTTCCAGAAGACATAGCTATCATCAGCTGTTCTGATTCAGCACTACAGGTGTCAACCTGGCTGAGGGTTAAGTCTTGAGAATTCAAAGAGCTGTTTAGAGACTTACTAAATCCCCATGTACGCAGGCTGGTTAACTATGTCTGGGAATCACGTTATACCATGGTTCTCCTCCAGGTCTGTGAGAGGAGATGGTTTGGCTGATTTTCATACAAACTACAACATGCCAGGACACTGCTGGATTCAGATACAGTTTGGTGCAGCAGACACATCAGCCTGTGCTAGCTACAGGCAAGGTTGCCAGTTTCTGCAGTGACGACAAAGAACATTGTGTCACTATCTGCAAAATCAATACACTGAGAAATCAATCCATGCACCAACACCCGCAGTTAACCACCACATCACAGCATTTTCCCAGATAAGAAAATTTTCCTGACAAATGCATATCTGGAGTTCTGACATGCATGTTACAAGAGTAAAAACTTCCCTAAACATTTCTTTAATGCGCATTACACATGGTCTTTAGATCTAAATTCACATTCATAATGATCAGGCTGGAAATATACAGGACACAGTTGCTCCTACAGTAGTTTCAGCTCTGATCTGGCAACAGCCTTAAAGAAAGGCTGAATGAACAGAAAACGATGGGGAGTATTAAATGCAAACATTACATTTACATACACCTATGTGATTTCAGTATACCTGAGCACTTGATCTGAACTCAAGACACCATCTTTTTCTTTTTGGGCACATAATTCAAAGGATTTCACTACAACAGCTGGAGTTTCAGTTATTTAAAGTACATTCCAGCAACCCTGCCAACAAGGCAGCAAAACAAAAAATGAAAGAAAATAAATTATTGGCCAGAGCAGCCTTCCCTGTGTCCCACTGGCAGTATCTCAGGCACACCATGCTCAGCCTGCCTGCTACAGGACACGTCTCCATTGCAGGACACTGGGCCTCAAGACTGATTTTGGCTGTAGCTCATCAGCCAAGCAGGTGTGCATTTTGCTGGTGACCTTGTTATACTCCTTTCCCCTGATTCTCCCAAGTGAAGGAGAAAACTGGAACTGCATGAAGGAGTTTGCTGAAATATGCCAAGTGTGGACCAGAGACACCCAGGGATGAAAATGTCTTGCCTGTAAGTTACAGAAAGCGACAACAATGAAGGATTTGTTGACAATTTCATACCCAGCAGTTCTGCACCCACTGCTAGGGCAGGACAGGTATGCAGTTAAACTTTAATTCACCCCCATACACCACTACCAATAGATTGGCAGACAAAACCAGGCATGGTATTTATCTGTCCGTTGCTGAAATATTTCACACTGCAGTGCATCTCTTCACTCAACACTGTCCTTATTAAGTCACTGTCCTGCTTACCAATGTGCTAAATAAGGGAAAGATACTGCTTTCCACAGCATATGTCCAGCACCACAGCATATGTCCAGCATTGCCTTACAAGCCTCAGTTGACCTGCCTATGAAGGGACTGTCCACCCCACCAATTAGCTCTCAAAAGGGCTTTAAACAACCTCCAAACGCTCTTTCTGGATTTGCCAGGTACTACAGGCATCATTAGAAGACACATCACCAAATGAGAAGGTGAACAAGAGGCCAGTGGAAGAGCAGAGGAAATGAAGCTGAGGTTACTCTTCTCTTCACCTTATTTTCAGTGCTTGGGACACTGGCAACAGAGCTGCCTGGTCCCTTTGTCAGAATGAGGATCACCCTCTGCACCTTCCTTCCAGTTTCCCTACTCAGAGCAATAGCTGCAATCCAGCCTTGTAGTGACACCAAAAGTGAGTGACTCAAGAGTACAGCATTGTTTTAACTTGGAAGCGGCCTGACACAGTGGCTGTTGTACCTATCAGTTTATGTAAAAGCCTCATGACCTTCCCTCAGACTCTTAAGAAACAACACGTGAATACTTAGGCTGATTTAAAATCCTTCTATGTAAGCTCAGCTTCTGTAAGAGTTTAATGAATTTCTCCCCCTTTTTCCATGAAAGAGGAGATTCTCTTATTTTCAGTTTCTTTGACCTTGTGAGGTGGAGTGGCTTGATAATATGGACATTGTCCTGTCACGGCACTTTCCGTGGCTGGATTTCCCTGGTCTTTTGAAAGACCTTCCAACCCTCCTTGAACCACAACAACTACTGGTAAACCACACAAGTATTCACATTATGTATCGCAGTAGGGCTTTGTTAAAACTGGAGAAAGATGCTGCTTACACAAATGCTGTAAGAGGTACAACATACTTCCTCGTGCCAGGGCTGAGCTACCAGTAGTCCTTCTGGGAACTTGAATCGGGCATGAACCATAACTGCCCTCTAACCTAGGACCTGTAAGGAAAATATTGAACAAGGAGAACTTCCTTCGGCTCCCCCCCCCCACCCCACCCCCTCCACTTTCTCGCTTCTTCCTACATACAGCAAACCCTCATTTCCAGTTGGGTGTTAGCATATAAAGGGAACAATCACAAAAACCATCAATGGCAATGCGCATCACACAACAGGCTTCGTTCCGCTTGATTGACAGGTTTATCTGATGTTTGCTTTGGCTGACGTTATTATATTGTGATTTCTGATATTCCAAGGCATGTTAGTATGAGATTGCACTGCAGCAGTGGGCTATAGCGTGTTGCTGAGAGACTACTGAGCTCACTGTTCACCTGGTGGCATGGTTGTTTCAGGTAACTTTGAACATGGGTGTTGCATTCAGTATGGAGGGATGGATGCCTAAACTTCAGAGGTATGTTACAGGACCAAGCAGTTTCCTGATTATCATAACCTTCCTTTGTAACTCTAGTTTCATCATGTAATACCTATGACTCAGTTTTCCTATTAGTTAAACTGTGTATTAGTCAGCCTGTAAGCATCTCCAAAGCACTTTGAGCTTTTTACGATGGAGGGCACTACACTGATGTAAGGTACACTGAGATTTCACAGTGAGGCAGAAAAGCACGACAGAGAGAAGAAGCTGAGGGCAAACCACAGTGCTGGCTGGAGCTGCCTAGTGAACTCTGAGGGCAGGCTGCCTGATGGTACATGCTCCCTTCTGGCACATGACAGAAAGCATACACACTGCACCCGCTCAGTCCTCTCCCCCTCTCTTGAGCATCTGCCCCCACCAAGAAACAAGAAAAACTCTTATCCATTGCAACCTCTCCTGAAAGCAGACCATAGGGGTTATTTCACTATTAAAACCTACAAACACCTCATAAGGCTTTGGAAGGCTTCTTCCAAGATACTAAAAATTTGCATGCATTCTTTCTTTATTGCCTGGAGTCAGAAAGCGGACTTTAAAGCTTTTGAAATCCCTTTCAAACTGCAGTTTCATTCTGTCTCTCTTCTCCTCCCACCAAGAGCGAATACAAA